GACAATTGGATAAAATATAATCCTTTGGTTATCGCAGCCTGCAGACGCATTTGACAGGAGACTGTTGACAGCTACTGTTTAGCAGTAAAGTATTTACAGTCAACAAATAGAAAATGGCATTTTAACGATTGACAGGTTTATAAAAATCGAATTGTTACCACTGTTCATATACCGAAGGCGATGCCTAATCGCTGGCGGATGTCCGGTCTGAAATTTGCTTTTATTGTTTTCACTTGTGCCAGGCGCTTTTGCCCTTTTTGGGATTTCGGGCTTTTTGTCAGTGGTTTTTTTTTTTTCATATAATTTTTTTGTCGTGCTGCATTCTTGTCGAGTTTGTTGTCAGCATTCCCTTTCGACTTCCTCGTCCACTTGAACTAACATCCTTCCGCTGACTTGTCATCGTCAGGACCAACAATTTCTGCCTCTGGTCTATCGCCGGCAGTGCATCCAAATGACAAGGCCGCCTGTCCGTTTGTCAATCAATTGTGAATTGTTTATTGAATGTTGTCGTTAGGCTGCACACAGCACATAGCCACCAAGAATTGTATTTGTTGTTATTGCTGCCGCCGCTGCCACTGGGACGACTAACTGGTTTTGTTCCAACATTCGATAGAAGCTGGCCAGGACTAGGACCAATTGGTCCTGTTGCCAGTTTTGTTTACACTGGCACTGGCAACGCTTTCCTTTTTTTGTGAGGCGTTTTAATGGAAAACTGTGCATTGATCGATTTGTTGACGTTTCCAACTTTTTGTCTCTTTTCTACCCTTTCGCGGGGCACTCTAACTATGCCATAACAACTGACACTCAGCAAAGATGGGCCTACCTCACATGCTAACATCTTTTGTCGATCAGCCTCAGGTTAATCAAATCGACTTTACTATGAAAGCGAGTTAACCAAATATTAATATATTTGAATGGAACTCTTATTTATTAGATTTATGTGCAACTTGTTGTAAGCGTATTTTATGTGCGGCATGTCACCACGAGCTTTATTTCATCCTATTGAATGGCCTGTCACATTACTAATACGCACTGTGGTCGCTTTAAATAGATGCTCCCAGTGCTCTCATAATCTTGCCCAAATGGCTTTTGTTGGAATGAAATAGTGTTGACTTTCTCCGCGCGCGCACACACACACACACACGCACACATGCACAATGTCGAGCGTCCTTAACAAATGCACGAAATGGCTTTTAAACGAGCCCGACGCCGTGCAGTCTGGCTGGCAGCGTCGCGGCCCTGCATCATCGCTTCGTTCAGCCGGCGCTGCCGTTGGCATGTGATGATTTGTTCGCACATAATGAAACTCATCAGCAACTACAACAGCCAAGCAGGCGTTCAGGATGGGGTCAGAAGGTCGAAGGTCGAGTGTGGGGCTGGCAATGGGTTTCGTGCCGCGGCGTGAATTGGCTTGGCATGAATTCAAAAAAAAAAGCGAATAAAAATAAGTTGGTTGAAAATGCACGTCTGGGAAATGCTCTATAAAAGTAATCTTCATTTAAGCTATATATTTGTGTAGATTTATGTGTTCCCACTATTCTTATACACTTACCCCTCTTATCACGAGGAACATAAACTGGCTATATATTAGAATCTAGTTTGTCTGACAGCTTGGCGAAATACAGAATTATAACTAAATCATATCGCAGATTTAACTTCCTTGGCGATAACGCAACATTAATTTCTCAACAGTATCAAATGTGAAGATGTATTTCATTATATTTTGAAAATTGTAAATACTTTATGGCAAACGGGTGACCTTTCTGCCTGGGACCATAGAACATAGACCACATAGAGAAATAATATTTTTCTTTTTGATGAAGTTGGTTTCTGTCTGTGCGGCACATTTGGTCAGCTGGCTTGATTACAGGGTATTACGAAAGTGTAACTACTGCGACAGCTTTGCAGAAAGAAAATATAGTAAAAGCATTTTCCAGTTTCATTATTCATGGCTCACTGCCGGCCGCTGTCCAACGTTCGCCTTTTCTGCGATTTACTTAATTTGAAGTGAGCCTCGACCATCAAGAAACTGCTTTTAAAATCAATTTGGCGTATATTTTTCTTGGGTCTTGTGGTTTTTTCTCCCGCTTGCCTTTTGCTGCCTGCACAGCTTTTCTTTTAAGGTTTCGACTTTGTCCACGGCACTATTTATGCACATAATTTGCAGTCAACATGGAACCACTTTCATTTTGACATTTAATCTGAAGCGGACAAATGGAGCATTGGCTGGCCTTTGTAGCCGGCAGCTGATGGATGAAAAGCTGCCCAGCTACTATGTAACATAATCTGTTTTAATATAAAATTATATAAAATAAATATGTGTAGAAAGTCCTTATTGACGCAACCAACCGACTGAACGGAATTTAATTTACCTTCAACCCATCAGCAGCCAGTCGGCGGTTAAGTTAAATTTAAGCCAGATGCAAACCATTTCAGCAAATTCATTAGCAGAAAACTTGCTGCTCCCCACGCTCTTCACTGTTGCCAGTTACCAGTAACACCACAAAGACCGCAACAGTTGCGCCTGCCACTAAAAATGAGGGCAATGCATTTATCCCGAGGGTGCCTCGCAGTTGAGCAATGGATTCAGCAAAGCAGCGGGTTGCCATGTGCTTGTTTTTGATGTGACGCTGATATTTAAAAGTGAAGTTTCAGTTTTTTTTTTATGAATATATACATATAAATATTTATATATACTATTTATATATATATATATATAGCAAAGCCTGGCCGTTATCATATATAATCATACATAAGCAGATGATACCCTATATATATTTATAGCAAGAGAAAGCCTTGAATACATTTATTAGGTGGAGCTCCGAATAAAATTATATATATTTTTATATTGTTGACATAAGTGTTTGAAAATAATTAAATAAAAATGAATAATTTAAAAATAAAATTAAATATGCTGTTCACATAAGTGCTTAGAAATTGATAAATTTTGTTATGCCTTCTAATCAGTTCCTAATGCCCAACTCTTAGATTTTATCATCAGTTGTTTTTTTCAACATCAAATTTAATTAATATCAATTAAACTGTTGTTAATTTTACTCGCTACATAACACTTAAAACGCTTTATAAAGCGCTCATAATGTTAGATAAAAATAATAAAGTAATTTATTATTGAAAATGATTTAATTGTGTTTCAAAATATTTAACATGAAGTTCAATATACTTTGGCATGCACTTGAACCAGTTTTCCAAGCAGTTTGCCATAGTGGGTTAGTTCGTAGACGAAGTTAATAAGTCCACTCAATTTTATTGTGGGTTAGGATGTGCTTTTTAAAGTTACTTTTCGTGTGGGGTTATCATATAGAAAATGTGCGATTTTCCAAAGGAAAAGCTTAATGATACCAAGATGCCCGTATATTTTTGGCCTACAAAAAAAATGAGGCATCATTTACAGAGAGCTCCAGGGTATTTACAGTCAGTTGTTATATTTGTTAATAAGCACATTTTTTGCAAGACCCATTTTTTTAGGTATCGGTCAGCATGATCTGCATTTTACGCAAAATTTTGATTTTTTAATTTACGGTAAAAGTTAATATTCATCTATGAAAGAATTTAATATTAAAATTGCACGCACAGGTGGGAAATGAAATTATATAAAAATATTGTTATATTTTGTTCTGAGTAATTCAATATAATGTGAATATTTGGTGCATTCTTTAAGAATGCTACTCTTAGAGTTTCAGGAGATGACTGGAAAACCCTGCGCAGTTTAACTATGTCTGCTTGCATAAATCAGATTTAAGTAGCTCTTATATTAGTATAGAGAAAAGCCATGGATTTTGGAAGCATTCGCAAAATTGTATACTATATGGGAGCACTGTAGGGCATCCTTTAGCTGAGCACTACTCAGCAGAGTAGAGCAACTTGTATTCTATGTGTACTTGCGGTAATTGCGTAGCATTTTAAGCATGCTGGCAGCACTCACTGCTGCTGCTGCTGCTGTTGCTGCTGCTGCTGCTGCTGTTACTTGACACATGTCAGTCAGTCACTCAGTCACTCATTCCGTGCGCTTAGCTTTTGAGCGTAGCCAAGCGGAAGGCTCAGCAGTGCCAGCAAGACGGGGCTGCGGCACAACGATGGGTGCAAGCTAGCTGGTGTGGATTTGACTTTGTGTATGCGAAACATAAAATGCACTTGACTTGCCTTGCCCACCGTTGTTCTTGTTTTTGTTGTTGTTGTAGGCTGTTGGTGCTGACAACAGCAATAATGCAGCACTTAATGTGCCAAATGTGTGTGCGTGTGTGTGTGCGTGTGTGTGAGTCGGCATTATAGAGTGGTCATTGCTGGCGTTTGAAGCATTACAAGCACATTTCTTGTGGCATTTCAGTTTAAATGCCAAATATTACGCATACGCCCGGATGACTGCGCCAACAGCAAAAGCAATTTTCATTGCCAGCTCATAATTTGCATACATAGCCACAGCGCAGATTTATGGACTTGAACATATTGCTAGCCGCCTGCCACCTTGTCAATCGCGGCGATGGTCTAATTTTGGTGTGGATTTTGATGTTGATGTTGCTGTTCATGTTGATGTTGAGTTATGAGCGCTTGGCAAACAAAAACCTGCTGGCAAACGGAAATTACATTTTGCTTAGCTCGCAAGTGCAGGCGAGCAATTAAAGCGAGGCGATTGAACGGGCGGCCGTTGGGCGGTGCGCCCGACAGCCTGGCATCAAACTTTGCCCATTGCATTAGAAAGCGGAGCTCCGCTGGGTGGCGCATTAAAACAATACACACACTTTAAAATAATTTTTTTTAATTTGAGTTTGAAGTTTGATCGATACGCGGCGCGGCTTGGGTGTGCGCTGCGGTGCGCATAAGCGCCCAGCTGCACCAAGCCTGGCATTAGAGGTCATACGAATGCCTGCGGGTCAAAATCATTTCAACGGCAAACGCCGCGTCGAGCTGTTGATTTGTGCCATCAATTGATTCGTTTGCCTTGTGGTCGCAATTTTCCTACTGTTTCTGTTGGCCGTCCATTTATGGCCGTGTCCGCATCCGATGCTGCGGCGCTGGCCAGCAGTGATGAGGAGCTCACGCCTGCTGGCAGCCATCCGAGCGCTCAGCCTGACTACAGTGATGCGCGCTTGGAGCGCGTGGCCGCCTACACCACGACCACAATGCGCCTGAAACCGGAGAAGTGGGCCAAAATGATGGCGCACGATGAGTTCCGGGTAAGTTTTCTTTACTTTCGCACAATGCCGACTAACAAAACTGGCTGCCAATGCAGCATATCGTCCTGGACTGGCTGCACGGACGGACGCGAGTTTTGGTGATGACGCTCAGTCCGGGCGGCGAGCTGGTGCCCAGGGGCTGTGTGAGCGACCTATACCGAAACTATACCCTGCAGAGCTGTGGCTCACGGGCAAGTGATGCCACTGCCACGGCTGCCGTGGTGGCGGCGGCAACAACCACAGGAGCACTGCTGGTTCCGCTGCCGCCCGCATCGTCCAGCTTTACGACATTGGATGGAGTACCGCGCGGCAAGTGCGCCTACTTCATACGCCACAATGTGGACGTGCCGCTGACAGCTAGCAATTTTCATAGCTCTGTGCTCTATGGTGACTTTCCGGTGCACAGCAAAATGGAGACCATGTCTCTGCTGTTCGACGAGGTGCTGCAGCCGCTGTTGGACAAGGCTCAGGGCGGGTGGCCATCGCCCGTGCGCAAGGATCTGCAGGCGCGCGTCAAGGAAGTGCGCAACACGCTGACCGAGGTGGGTCCAAGTCTGTTATCTCGGCATATTAATCTAATTGAGTGCAGCGAGGCGAGCTGGGACGCCACCAGGCGAGAGTTTACCATTGTCCCAATGTATTTGGCTTAATTGGGCAAAGTTTTCATGTGTCTATAAGCGCTATTTATACTTTATTGTTATCCCCCACAGATTAAGGGCAAAACCAACAATCGCACAATTTTATCGTTATTAGTTTCGCCAACAATCGTCGAGGAAGTGTCTGCTCACGTGAACCGGGGGTAAGTAGAAGCCCTGCCCCAACTTTAGTCGCACTCAATGGCCATTGTCTCAAGGGCTATGTATGGCGTCCTGTACCATATACAGCTGCTGCGTCATCGCTGCTGGCTACAAGTCTTTGTTTATATTGATAGAGGGTGGAGGGGGGCAGGGCAATAGGGGCGGCAATCGTATAAATCGAACTTGTGAGCACACAACTTTATCGCATGACTTTGCGTAAATTTATTATGTATTTTCAATAACTTGTTAAATACCCAAAGTTGAATTTCAATTTTCAATTTGGCCAACAACTCGAAGAGCTACAGAATCTTGATTGCTTTTTGCCAAATTTTTTAACTGAAAACCAATACGACTAATTGCAAATGTATGTATCGAGTCGACAAACTGTCTTAGAGCCAATATTAAAGAATTCCTAACTAGAAAACCATTTAAATTAATCAGCTTCACATTGCATACAAGCTATCAAAGTAAACCACAAATTGTTGCATGAATAAAGTCAAAAAATTTTAATCAGCCGTACACGATGAACAGATACCCTGTGTGAACAGGTCTCAAGTGCCAAAGCTGGCTGATAAATTGATGCATGAAAAATCAAGGCATTATTTAAAATAAAAGAGATTGACCTGACACCAAAGGAAATGAATAGATATCAAGACATTATTTCACAAATTGAGATTGAAAATCATCAGCTATAGAAAGATATGAGATCCAGGACTTCCAATTTCGGTTATTTACGGCACGCCGAAGATGAATACCCTTGTAGCCTTGAAGAGTACGGTTTGCGGATTGAGCTATATGGTAGTCCGATGTTGATAAGAGAGAAAGACGGACGGACGGACATGCAGACGGACGGACATGACGACAAAGATTTGGACGACAATACTGATACAGAATATATAAGCTATATGGGTTCAGAGATGTCTCCTTCTAAGCGTTAAATATTTCACTGTAATAAAAAATTAAAAATAGAAATTGAAATTGAAATTTCCAGCGAAACTTTTCTCATAAAAGGTGCGTGGCTTACGATCTAACAGGAAAGATAATCGTTTAAGTTAAATGAACTGAAGGCTGCACATGATATACGAGAACCTAATATCGATTTTTAATCATAGGCGTTTAAGCTTACCTTTAAATTCAAAAGAGCTGAATACACTAAATTTGGTATTAGAGCTCTCTTATAATATATACAAATATATACAATATTATATCTGTATATCATTAAGATCGGACTACAAGCACCGAAGATATTGCAGAGACCATTTCCCATAATGTGGGACTAAGAGAAGAAGAATCATGTTTCTAACATCATTATATATCTAACAGGGTATCTCCTAGTCAGGCACTCTTGCTTGTTTTCCACTTCTTCAATGGGTATTGACTAGAAATAAGGCAAAAGCAGCAGATGTTATCATGGAAATCAGCTATTAAATCAAATAAATGTAGGTCAATTTTATATACAGCATTGTAGACAGAAGAGCAAAAACAAATCCAACAATATTAAATGGAGAAAATGTGTAAATGAGCGGTATAGAGAGGGGAAGCACGAATTTCCAAGCGCAACTATTTAAGAATTAGGTCAACAATTGTTTCCCCCTCCCATGAAAAAAAGTAGCGTTCAATTGCTGCCAAAGTTGGGTCGGAATTGAAAGGATTCAAAAAAGGCAATTTTAATTATCGTTGCATGCCAATAGCAATCTAAGACCAGCCCTGGATGCCAAGTTTCGTAATCTGCTGGAGGAGATGTTTATCAATTGGACAACACAAATGCACGACATTGTCATGGAGCGCTCGGAGTCAGTTGGCCTGACCGCGTGCACCACGGCGCCCACCAAACATATCCATGTGGTTACGCTGCCCGCACAGGAGATTACCTTCTGGACGAATCGAAAGCTCAATTTGCAGAACATTTACGAACAGCTGCGCGAAGCCATGCACAAGGCCCTGGCGCACATACTTGAGCGCATTGAGTCCGTCTATTATGAGCCGTATGCAAAGGCTTTCCGGCAGCTTCTGACCGCCTGGCTGGAGGCACAGGATGTCTCACTGTGGTTGCAGCCACTGCAGCGTCAAACCGCCGCCTTCAACTCGGTGCAGTTCAGCAATGCACAGGAGCTGATTGCACCGCTGGTGCATGTGCTGCACTTGCTCTGGAGCAATGCCCGCTTCTACCGCAGCACGCAAAGAATGAGTGTGCTGCTGCGTTGCATTTGCAACATGTTGGTTCATCGCGCCGCCGAGGACTTGGAGTTTCCGCTGCTCTTTCAGGGCGACGCCGATGAGGGCCTGCAAAAGATCAATAAAACTGGCGAGGTGTTGGAGTTTTTCAGGTAAGCAAAATGGGAATTTTGATAAATACTCAAATTACGCAACACTCTTGGCCATTTATGGCTGCTCAGGCAGCGCATGCTCGATTACAAGGAACGCTATGCAAGCAGCCAAGTGCTGCTGCCAGCCTTGCCGAGCTCTTCGGCTGCAGCTGCAGCTGCAGCAAGCACTTCCCCAACGCCCGACGACCAGCAGCAGCTGTGGCGCTTCTCCAACGAGCAAGTGTTTGGCCAGACACTCGACGGATTTCTGTTGCAGCTATCGGAGCTCCGTCATGTGTTCGAGGCGGCTGTTCAATTCCAGCAACTGGAGAAGCTGGAAATAGGCGGTCTGCGTGGTAAACTGCTCACGGAACGCGTCAGAGAGGTAAATGTAAAGCTTAAATTTCCGCCTTCAAAGATGCTGCAAATTGCCTTTTCACTGTCTTACACAGATCTTTAACGAGTTCAAGCTGCTCTTCGAGCAGTGGACCAATGTAGATATAGATCTCGCAGCGCCCGCTGCCCACAAATGGAAATGTTTCAAGCGCGAGCAATGCCTTTTCTATGAGCGCATGCAGCAGCTGGAACAGAAGCTGGCCACGGTACTGCTGCAGGCCTTCGAGCAGTGCCACAGCTGGATCCACCTGCTCAAGCTGACGATTATGTTCGGCTGCCTATTACAGCGCCGCACCGTGCAATTGGAGCTCGTGCGTCTGCTTCCGCACATGCTCAACGTCTACAATGCAGAACTGCAGCAGCTGGAGCAGAGCGTGGCAGACGTGCTGCTGCACTATCAGTTCCATGGACTCGAAGCTCTGCCCGTAGCTGGAAACTTTCCCCCAATTGCTGGTGCCATCATGTGGCTCGAGCAGCACTTGCATCGCTGCGATGAGCTAGGCGCTAGGGATCTAACTGAGCTCGTCCAGAAATTGTAGGTCCAATCAACAGCATTAAAATAACAAGTCTTCTCGGCACGCCGAAGATAAAATACCCTTGTGGACATGTGACTTAGAAATACTTTTCTAGTATCGCTATATTTTTTGCTATTAAGAGCCATAGTATATAATAATTAGACTTGATTCGGGAAAAAGGATTTGTAATCTCGACCGAGCGCATAATTTCCTTATTATAATTTTAATCCTTTTTTTACATATAAATAATCTGGGAAATATTAGACACTTTTATTTTCCTCATTTGTTATGAAATTAATTTATATCTGATAGCAATTCATTTTTATTTGGAAAAGTACTAAGCTTAACCAGAAACTATTTTAGAGTTCTGCTGGCCCACACAATATTGATTTAATTTTGAAGAAAATCCACGCACTCATAAGTCAATTTTTTATATATTCGTGAAATATCTCAAATCTTTATTTATTTGCAATCCAAAAATTTTCTATACTTTATAGGTTAGCACTAAAATCGGAGCTTGTAACGCTGCCCTTTCAATGGGATTCATTGCTTTCACGTCGCAATATTCTGACCACAAAAATGTGCAATCTTCAGCTGAAGATCTGGCACGCCTGGCAGCAGGACATAGACAAGCTTATAGCGGAGGGTCTCGACGAGCCCATGCTGATTCAATTGGCAGCCGGTCAGCAGCTGCAGCTGAATTTCGCCCAGGCGCTCTTTACGCTGCTCAAGGAAACTAAATATCTGCTAGCTCTGCAGGCTTCTGGCAGCCTTTCAAGCAAACTCTTTCCAATGCCCGAGGCGCTGCTGTCACTTTACGAGCAGCGGGATGCCTACTGGCGGCGACGCATACGGCTCATCAAGATTGACGAGTTCTACAATGGCATCCGAGCTGGCCAGTGCGCTGCAGCAGAACTGCAGCTAATTGCCGCTGAGCTGGCGGCCATTGATGCTCAGGTGGCAACTGCCTGTGGTCAACTAACCTGGCGCAATTATGGTAAGTGTGGGTAAAGTTAACGTAGACAACATTTTTGAGCTGTTCCAACAGATGAAACGCTCATCGAGTGCATATTCGAGAAGTCACGCGATCTGCATGCACGTATGCAGCTATCGCATGGCAATCTGGACGCCATATTGACCAGCATGCGTCGCTGGAGCCGCGACCCACTGCATCAGCGCAGTCTCTATGGCCGCAATCTGCTCGATCTACGGCATCAGCAGGAGCGGGTACGTCTGCGTCTGCTCCAGTGCGATGAGACGAAGATGCTGCTTAATCGCTTGCTGATTGCCAACTTTTGTTTGTTCTTCAACTACGAGTCGCAGCAATTTCAATTGTATTCCCGTGACCTTAGCGTGCAGGAGGTGAGCAGTCCTTGTTGATCCAAATAGGTTGTTATTATTGTCCCTATTGTTTATTTTGTCATTGAAAGTTTGTGCGCGAATTTCCGGATGAGCAACGCCGACAGTTTAACAAATATTTGGCCACTGTGGACGAGTTGATTTGCCGTGAAATGCGTCAGGCCATGAGGATCAGGTTTGGCTTTCAAGTTATTAAATAGAAAAATATTCAGCATAGCACAAAACAATTTCATTTTGCACTGCAAGTATCTAAGCATCTAAGCATATATACATTTTTTTAATATGCTTTTGTTATTTAAACTTATTAAAAATATTAATCAAAGATTAAATTAATTTAATAAAGTACCGCAAATATTTTAAACAGAACGAGCTGACAGCCTTAGAGTAAAAATCGGTGAATCAATGAAATATTGCCAATTTATCCAAAGCATTTAAGGCTATATCGTATTGCAGCCATAGAAATAATCGGTTAAAAATGGCATTTTATATCAAAAGCTTCTTTACTCGGGCACTTTAAACTTCTTATATATTTTTGTTATACTAATCTTTATAACTACCATTTAAGTAAGTTTTCAGATAGCACCTGTTTTTGATATCAAAGTAATAAAAACGACTCACTCAGCCATGCCACAACCAGTCATACAATTATACTAGCCACCCACCTCAGCGAGCAACAAATAAATTCATTACACTTTGGCAGGCTGCCAGCGCCTTTCATGTCTCATCAAAACTAATCAAGTAAATGAACACAAATTTATAGCTCACCCGCATTCGCGCACACTAACCGCAAGGCGACAGACACCTACACCAACACCGACCGCAGTAAACACACACACACAACAACGGCAACAGCCAACAACAACAACAACAACAAGTTGCTGATGGCAGAGCATTCATGCGTCAATTGCATGTTTCACTTAACGGCACTTCGTGATTGCATGCAGAGTTCTCAGCAGCAGCAGCAGCAGAGGCAGCAGCAGCGGCAAACGCAAACGAAATAAGCACAAAACAAACTCAGCAGTAAATTTAATTTTCGCATTACTCATACGCCGTGTAATTCAGTTTAGAGTATTTGCACAAGGAAATGACAGGATCTGGAACAACGACTGCAAAAACCGCTGAGGCAACTCCAACAGCGCCCCCAACTTCAAGTATGGCCTTGCCAAGCATGGCTAGGTTGGTGCTACAACAAATCACAACGCCACAAGCGACAGCGACAATAATACCAACAACAACAACCGGAGCAACAACAGCAACAAACGATGCACCGCTTTTCGAAGTGAAATTGGAGCTGACGGAAACGGAAATACGTTTTTCGCCTGCCTTTGATGCAAGTGTGGAAAATAATTTTCAACAAATTGTCGAGCAGCTGTTGCTGGATATAAAACAGACATGCGACTGCATGCCAAGAATTGTGTCTGACAATGCGCTGTCTGACGACGACGACGACGACGACGGCGACGGCGACGGCGACGAGCACGATGGTAAGTTCAAGCAGTTACTGCAAAAGGAGCAGCAGCCCGTCCCACACAATATGCTGGCCGTGGCAAGTACGCTATGCACCAGCAGTCGCATTGGCGCTGGCATCGCTGAAGTTGGCACTGCCTACTTCGCCTTCTTCGCATTCTTTGCATTTGCTTAAACCACCTAACACACTCTCAGTTGCAGCTGATGACTTGGAAATGCTGTGCGCCAGCATACGCAACGCCTTGGCGCAGACGGTTCAGGCGGCGTTGAATTATGCTGCCAAATTCCACGCCTATGCGTTCCTTTGGACACAGCAGAGCGGCGCCGTCCTGGCGTCCTGCATGCAGACGGCGCGTGAACAAACGACCCACATCAGCGACAGTGGCTATGCCATCATGGAGACTTTCAAAAAGGAGGTAAGGAAAAGAATGAAAAAAAAATTACAACAAACATCTGTGTGCCCCAAAGCACGAGGCAGCAGCTTGCCAAATGCCGCACCGATGCGCCCACGCACACAGACACGGCCACACTGGCGGACCCGTTGAAGGGGGCCAGAGGGTTAGCGGGGGGTCAGACAGATGGAGGCACTAGTGACCGAGTGGCTCGCCGGGTCACTCAATTGGCAACCACACAATTTACGTTGTGTAACCCCTGAGACCAATAACGCTTGATAAATGTCGACCATTTAGGGTCAAATGTGTGGCCGAATCGGCTGTCGGGCCATCTCCGCCGGCTTTGCCCAAATCTGGATATAGCCAAAAATGCTTAACCACATGGCGCCTCTGACTTATGCCAACACACACAGAACAATTCAGTAAAAGTGACTACAGCAGGCAAATCGCTTGCGTATGCGTAATATTTTCTTTAAACAATTATCAAACGCCCCGAAAAGTATGCAATAAATTACATAAAGACTCCGCAGCACACAAACCACGCACGCCCACAAATAAATGCAAAGCAGACAAACAGGCAACAACAAATCATGGTCGAAATGCATGAACATTCAACGTGAGGCTGTGAATTGAGTGCCACAATAAAATGTGAGGGAAATGAGGGAAAGCCTACAACGAATCCTGTTTACCCTTCTACTCAAAATCAACAGGAAAGAAAAAACAAATTAAAAACTTGAAGATATATTTGCAGCACTCTTTGAAAAGCACTTTACGAAATGCATAACTTAACAACAACCACATCTCTTTATGAATTGACTTTGCATTTTTTTTCAGTGTAAGACACACAACATACATATTACCCTTGTCGGTAACAACATCTGACCCTGTTTCCCTTTGCACCTGTCAAATGCATGTTAGTTGTAATTTTTGTAAAAATTTGTTTGCGAAAGTCAAAAATATTTTATTCACTTGTCGTATTCACAATTTAAATTTTCATGGGAATAGAATATTATTTGATTACTTATTTAATCCGTTGGGTGTCAAGTACAATTCGCATTTCATCTGAAAATTAAAATGTTGATAGTTGCCTGCTAAATATTGACAGTCAGACCTGTAAGAATCGGTTTTTGGCAGGTTAGCTTAAAAAATTATAGCTTAGTCCTTTATCCACAGACTTTGTCAAGCAATAGCTCAATCGACATCTATTTAATGTACATTAACGAATCAGATGATTATCAAAAACGAAATAATTTACTCCAAATTTCCTGAATTCTTTAAGTCGAAAATGCAAAAAAAAAGGAGTAAACAAATTCAGCCTAAATGTATATAAATTAACCTTTAAATGACTTTACAAAATAATAAAAGATAATAACAAGATTAACATTATATTGGCCCAAGAATTATATTCGTCCTTTTGAGGCACCACCGCAGACTTACAAAATCAACTAAAATATAAAATATAATAAAATATAGTTCAGCTACGCTTTTAAGACTTAGAACATATATAGTTCCGATAGTTTGGAAGTCCTATTTTATATGAAGTACAGTCTGTCCGTTTAGTTAATACGCAGAGTTACGTTAGCAGTATATTACCCTGATAAGCAAAGGGCAACTAAAATCACTGACCGGCATTTTATTTATGAGCGGCCATTGATAGTCGCCTCTGGCGCAGCTGGTGCGCTTAATAAATGCTTCTCTTGGACACAGTACGCATATACAAGTAAATGGCACATGAATTGGGCTTCCGACCACGCACACACATATGCGCTAAATTAGCTTAAATAAATTTGGTTTAGCCCAGGCAAATGAAGTTGTCAACGCCCCAAACATCTTGCCCAATCTCTACCGCAGATCGAGCGCTACAACGAGCTGCACGATGCCATCGACCAGTGCGAGAGTCGCCACTGCCTGAACGGCTGGCTGGCCCTGGACTTGAAGCCGCTAAAGCATGGCCTGCTCAATCTGGCCTGCAAATGGTCACACCTCTACAAGCAGTGGCTGCTGCGCTATGTGCAGAAGACGCTTCAGGTGAACGCAGTAACAGCCCCAAAAAGTATGCTATCAAAAAGCTAATATGTTTTAACAGGAGCTAAACGCATTCATCGCGCGCAGCCATGAGACTTTGCAGCTGCACATCGCACGCCAGGAGTTCAAGGCACTGCTGCGCGTGCTGTCTGTCATGGCGGAGATACGGCAGAGGGAGCCGTACGCGGACAATGTATTTAAGCCGCTCAAGGACATCGTTGCGCTTTTAAAGACCTACAATGTGGAGTTCGAGGCACAGCTGGTGCGCAACATAGAGCAGCTGCCGCTGCAGTGGCAGCAACTGAAGCAGCAAGCGCTGGCCAAACACGAGGCACTCCAGGACACGCGCTACTATCAACAGCAGCGCGTAACGGCGCTCATTGGTCTGCATACGTGCCACGTGCAACATTATGCGAAACAGTTCCAGCGCATGCCGGTGAGTGCGGCCCCTATTCAGCATCCCGGTCTGTTTGCACAGAATTAAGCCCAGCGTTACCTCTACTCCCACCTTAGTTCTTTCGTGTACCCTGTCCACAAATTTACGATGCCTGCGACCAGGTCTACGTGCGGCTCCATCGCTTTGGCTGCCAGCAGCGGCGCTACGCGTGCTGGGCCCAGCTCCTAAACATTCCCGAACCCGATACGACCACACTGCAGCAGTGCAAAACTGAGCTTAGACGCGTAAAGGTGAGCAGGATGTCGACCAAATTTGGGTCCCTTAGTCCGTGTTCGCGAGTGCGTGTGGATGTGCAGCAGATAAGACAGCTTTTGTATCGCCCGCAGCAATTGTGGGACTTTGTGCGCGTCATCGAATCCTGCATTGTTGACTGGCATGCAACACCTTGGCTCCAAATCGATACGGATGACATGGAACACGAGTGTAAGAAGTTCACGCGCGATTTGCGCACACTTGACAAGTGCATCAGGGACTGGGCCCCCTATGTTTACATTGTGGGCGTATTGCGTGAGCTGGTTGCCTCGCTGCGAGCAGTTACCGAGCTTCAAAATCCAGCAATTACCGAACGCCATTGGCTGGAGCTTATGCAGTTGTCAAAGGTAAGCAGGACAAGAAATCGCAGCTAGCACTGTTTGCAGTCAATAAAGGTAATGCCAGCAACCGCACCTGCTCCCATCCCCGCATCCACACAGGCACACACACACACACCCACGCCCATACCCCCACCCACAGCCATATCATCATCATCATGGCTCATGCAATTACAACTGATTGATCCACACGGCACCGCTGTACACTGTATCTTGGCGTGGTTTGGCGCATGGATTTGGCAATCGCATTACCGTGCGTTGTTTGAGCACGCATTACAGAAGCTATAATCTACCAAGCATCCCGCATATGGAAGTAAAAAATAGCATTATACTCTCCCGCACAGTAAAAAATTTTGGTTTCGGTTTAATTATTTACTATTATTCGGTTGTTGGAGTAAAAATCAGTAAAGTTCCGAACGTAATCTAAACGTATTTCCAATTTGCTGTTAATAGAAGGTACAAAATTAAAATTACATTTTCCACGGCAGCTTAAAAATTCTCGCCTGGACAAAGCCGCTGATTATTATATAAAATTAAACTTTAATTTAATAAAATAGATTTTCTAGGACATGAGAATTTGATTTTTTTTATCCACTTTATTATTATCGCATTTAAATAATTGCTTGATTTAAATGAATGCATCGAAATGAATGGAAGTTTATTATATCAAACATAATTAAATTTATTACAAATCATATTAATATTTTTTTTTTAATCTTTACTTTGGGGAATTTAATATAAAAAGATTAGGCGAAAATGTTCAATAGTTGAACTTTTATTTTCCCACACGCCATACTCTTGAATAACTAGAAATGTTTTAGAATTTATTTATTATTACATATATCCATTCATTCCATTCATTATTCCCATCATGTATAATTGCACATAATCACCGAGCACTTAAACTACTCGAGATATAATTGAATACAAATATATAAATAGAAGTAAGTTAAATCGAAATGCTCGTCTATTTCAGCTAATTGGACAGTATAAAGTGGAAGAATTAGTAAGTGAAATGTGAATTACTAGTAAATTAAGAAGTGTCAAAATAGTTTGCGAAAGGATGTGTATTATTTCATAACTTCAATAAGCTTTTGCAGCTTCTTGAAATTACAAATCCCGGATAATATGCGCTTATTAATGACGCATAAGCAACTGTACGGAAAGGTTGCCAACGTTGCCATGGTTGTGACTGCAGGAGGCTTTAAGGGCTGAGTGAACAGCTTGGCAAGACGAATGCAATAATATGATAACTTGAAGGGGGGAAACTGAGCAAGCTTAGCCATACAGCTGAGAAGAGAATTTCATTACTAATAATTACCTGCGTCAGGTATTCTACACGGGCTGTCGTGCCTGTAATTAAATTTGACATAATTGCTGAAAGTAAATAACTAAACTGAAATGCAATATAGACAACCAGACAATTTAACATATTGATTTACATGCTGTCTGACCGAATTGTCATACAAGAATTAAGACCACACAAAATATGTGAAAATCAGTGTTCAAATTGGTAGAAAAAGTCGTAAAATTCATATATTTCAGTGTTAAATGATAGTCCTAAAATTGGCAACTGTCAAAGCGTAGGGCATTTCGTCAACGATCAATTTCAGTGAAGCAAATTGAAAGTAGTCAAACGCTGATCAAAATTATATTATTCAATAATGATTCTTAGATTTCGTACAAGTGCAACGCATCGACGACTCTGGCACAGTTGCTAAGCCTGCAACTGCAGCAGCACGAAGAGGACATCAAGAACACTGTGGATCGTGCTATCAAAGAGATGACGGTGACAAAAGTTTTGGATGATATAAAGGCCACCTGGACACAGTTGGAATTCGAGCTGGAGCTGCATCAAACGCGCCCAACTGTGCGACTGCTCAAAGTATCGGAGGAGCTGATTGAAACGCTTGACGATAATCAAATGCAGCTACAAAATATCTCAACATCAAAGCATATCGAATATCTGCTGGATAAGCTGGGCTACTGGCAACGCGTGCTGAGTGGCATTGATACGCTTATTGTCAATTGGTTTGAGGTGCAGCGTAAATGGATTTATCTCGAGTGCATTTTCATCGGCTCAACAGACATACGCTCCCAGCTGCCACAAGATGCGGCAGAATTTGAGCGCATTGATGAGGACTTCACCAATTTGCTAGCACGGGTAACCAGCGTGCGCGTTGTCATGGAGGTGGTGCTGCAGCATGAGGATGTGCTAAAGCAGTTGCTGGAACTGCAGCAGCGCCTATCCGTTTGCGAGAAGGCGCTGAACGACTACCTGGAGACAAAGCGGCTGGCCTTTCCGCGCTTCTATTTCATCTCGTCCGCGGATCTCTTGGACATACTCTCTAATGGCAATAATCCCCAGGTCATTGATCGCCATCTCATCAAGCTGTTCGATTCCATATTGCGCTTGCAATACGAGACAAATACCACGCATGCCCTGGGCATGCACTCCAAGGAGAACGATGAGTATGTGGCCTTTGTGGTCAGCCAGGATCGCGAACAAACAGCCTACATCGACTGCTGTGGTCGTGTTGAGCTTTGGCTGCGCGCCGTCATCCAACAGATGCGCAGCACGCTCCATGAGCTCTTTCGTCGCGCTCTGGTTGCGTTCGGTGAGAAGTCCCGCGATTTATGGCTCTATGATTGGCCAGCACAGGTCGCGCTCTGCTGCAGTCAGATTAGCTGGACGGCGGACGTGAATCGCTCATTTGCCAGCATGGAAGAGGGCTATGAGGGTGCCATGAAGGAGCTGCACAAGCGCCAGATAGCGCAGCTGAACGCCTTGATCAATCTGCTGTTGGGCGAACTGTCCTCAGGCGATCGACAGAAAATCATGACCATCTGCACCATTGACGTCCATTCGCGTGACGTGATCGGCAAAATCATTGCCACCAAGGTGGACAACTCTCTGGCTTTTCAGTGGCAGAGCCAACTGAGACATCGCTGGGACGACGAACAGTCGGGCAGCTCCAGTGGCTGCGCCACAACAACAATCAGCGCAGGCAGCGCCGACGAGGATTGCTTTGCCAATATCTGCGATGCCGAATTTCGCTATGCCTACGAGTACCTGGGAAATACTTCAAGGCTGGTAATCACACCACTAACGGATCGATGCTACATCACTCTGACCCAGGTGAGTCAACATTAACTGTTTAAAAGTATTTTGAACGGAGACTGTTTAAATCGCTCTTAGAAGCTTATACAAAGTATAATATGTCGGTCCATTTATAGTTACTATTCGGAACAGATTACTTTATTATATGAAAACCACAAGAATGTTTGCTCGGAGAAAATGAAATTCTACTCTCTAGGTTTCCAGTACATTTCGCTCATAAATAATCTTCATTTGATCAGGAATCATCCTTGATTACAAAGTATTTAAAAAGTAAAAAAAAATTGTTGACAATGCAACTTAGATTAAGTACTTACCTTGAACAGGTAATTTAGGTATTAAATCAAACTTTCTTGTAATAAAAACAAATCGTTTTCAGTTATTCTTTTTGAGAATAAGAATTTATGTTGAATACAAAACTCAAAAAATTGTTAAATTTTTAAGATACCTATCTTCATTTTCAAGCTAACCACATTGTTAACCCTCCGTTGAGTTTTTCAATCACCTTTTTACAACAACCAAATATCTTGAATTATTTATGAATTCCACGAAGATGTAACCAAAAATATAAAAGCCATGCTCACCACATGACAGTCAAGAATGCCCTTTTTGAAGCTATTTATACGCTGAGAGCAGACATTTTCGCTGTGGGGAGAAAGCTTACCCCATTCGGGCGGAAGATTCTCAGAACCGTATAGAACAATCCCATTCCCATTCAACTGCATCGCGTTCAGTAATACTTTCTAGCAATTTAAAAAATTCGTCTGGCATTGTCTCGACAATCTTCATTCCTTCAGTCAACTTCTAGAAACAATTCCGATAATTCGAGCAGGAATCGTTATATTTCAATAAATAAAAGGTCCTGCTTACTTAATTTGAATAAAATAACAATTATATGAAGCTCAAAGACTTGAGTGTGCGAGATTATATGTAAATTTAGGTGAATTGGTTTAGTAACCGGAAAAACAATACACGTTATTTATTTATGCATGCAGTTTGAGCTCTTTTTTGTGGTTTTATTAATTAAAAACTTCACATAAGGCCTATTGCAGCTTTGGTTAGAATAACGACAGTTAAATACCCTTGAAGACAAATGGCAAATATGCGTTATTATATCTTTGCTTCGCCTATATGAATAATGATACCCTAAAGAACACAAAAGGTTATTTAAAAAAAACAACCTTATTAGATTGTTCTAATGGGATCTATATACTAGATTTATTTATAATAAGTACCATTTTCTAGAGTATAAAATCTGAGAGACTCGACAGAGCGAATGGTGGCACTCCTTTAATTATCTTGAATTATCTTCAACTTTATATGTAATAAAATTTAAATAATTTCACGTAACTACTACATTAAATGTTATTTTCAGTTATTACATTTTTTGTATCTCACCAAAAATTAAGGCAAAAGGGTCTGACAGCAGAACCTTGACAGTTTAATCTAACACCCAAGGACAACTCACATTAATGTGAAATTGTTTTTATTTACTTTTAAAAGCCTTCAAGCAAATTAAACTAGCTTCAACTTTATGTGATAATTTAATAAAACAAAGTTACTAAGTGGCAGATTTTTTTTTAAGAGCACAAATAGTAGCATAAAACTATTGAAAGTTGTTTGCAATATAATTGGCTTATTACCCATTTGTCCGCACCAAATACGTTTATATGATGACGACTGCTAATTAGTAAATCTGCGAAAATATTTGACCTTTATAAAAAAAACTATTTATAGACTTCCAACGAAGCAAATGTTTTTTTTTATCTCAATGTCTTACAAAAATACTTTTATAAGAAAGTAGAAATAGAATGAAGTTTACTAATGTCCTTCAATGTACGCTTACATTAAGATTATTTCTGGATGTTTTTAAAGTCGAGAGAATGGATTGTATTTCTTGCCCAACGCTAGATACAACATTACAAACTAACAAACTTTCAACAATGTTTTTGATTACCCAATTTGTGCAAATATTATAGTTTTTATCTTTAATCTGCCGTAGTTATCTATGAAAAATATCGTAAGCAAAAAATGTGCAATTGATATATGTAGAATGGACATATATATGAGATATCGTTCATATTAACATGAAGAAATAATTTTCATATTTTTTTCATTTTAAAGATATTAAAAACTTGAACAAACGAATAAATGTATTTTTAAATAAAGATTATTTCGCTTTTTGTGCCGTATTCATTTTCCACAATGTAGAGCAGCTCTTAGTTGGGCAGTCCCGAAATTGTTTTCTTAAAATTGTATAACTATTGAATAATTAATATACAATTTTTAAAGATAAATATAAATTTTCTTTTAAGTTTCTCGAAATAAATGTTACATATATACATGTGTATTAAATAAGCAAGCATACGTACATAGGTATATTATGTTAAGGGAAAGTAAGTAGAATTCCAATTAGTGCTTGTTGCTTGGTTTGAGAATAATTTGCTTCCATTTTGTGTTGATTTTATGCCAATTTGGCCTGTATTTAAATTAAACAACTCGTTAGTGGAAAATAAATGCCGTTTACAATTTGCATACCTTTGCATAAACATGCACACGCACACGCACACATATACTACACGCCGTCAGTCGCTGCATCTGGTGATGGGAGGCGCGCCTGCTGGACCGGCGGGCACCGGCAAAACGGAAACAACGAAGGACCTGGGACGCGCATTGGGTGTAATGGTTTATGTCTTCAACTGTTCGGAGCAAATGGACTACAAATCTTGCGGCAACATTTACAAAGGTCTGGCCCAGACCGGTGCATGGGGCTGCTTTGACGAGTTCAATCGCATCTGCGTGGAGGTGCTCTCCGTGGTGGCCGTTCAGGTGAAGACCATACAGGAGGCGATAAAGGTGCGACCGCAATATCGGCGAGACGTGAAGCGTTCGCAAATTGATTTTACCTTCCACTTCTTTGCAATGCTGCACATTGATTACATTTCTCTTCTCGGTGCCATGGTTACTGCCTCTGGACGACGATGGGTGTACCTTCTACCCATGGCTCGGATTGGTGCTGTTGGTTTGTCGTGCTGCTGCTGCTGTTGCTGCTGGTTGGTGCTGCTGTTTACAGATGCATAAAACCCAATTTATCTTTATGGGCGAGCGCATCTCGCTGGAGCCGTCGGTTGGCATTTTTATCACCATGAATCCGGGCTACGCCGGTCGAACTGAACTGCCGGAAAACCTGAAAACATTGTTTCGCCCATGCGCCATGATTGTGCCGGACTTTGCTTTGATTTGTGAGATTATGTTAATGGCCGAGGGCTTCCAGGATGCACGTCTGCTGGCACGCAAATTTATCACACTGTACACGCTGTGCAAGGAGCTGCTGTCCAAGCAGGATCACTACGACTGGGGCCTGCGTGCCATCAAATCGGTGCTGGTCGTTGCCGGCACATTAAAACGCGACGACCACAGCCGTCCAGAGGATCAGGTGTTAATGCGTGCTCTGCGGGATTTCAACATACCCAAGATAGTAACCGAGGATGTGCCCATATTTATGGGCCTGATAGGTGACCTCTTTCCCGCCCTCGATGTGCCGCGCAAGCGTGTCTTCGAATTTGAGAAGACCATCCGACGTGCGGTTAATGAAATTAAACTGCAGCCGGAGGAGGGATTTCTCATGAAGGTGGTGCAGCTGCAGGAGCTGCTGGATGTCCGCCACTCGGTGTTCATTGTGGGCGACGCGGGAACGGGCAAAACGAAAATTTGGCAAACGCTGCGCGAAACGTACCGCATACAGAAGCTGAAGCCAGTTTGTCATGTGCTTAATCCCAAAGCGCTGTCCAACGATGAGTTGTTCGGCATTGTAAATCCCACGACGCGAGAGTGGAAGGACGGCCTCTTTTCGTCCATAATGCGAGAGCAGGCCAATATGCCGCCGGGCAATCCCAAGTGGATTGTACTCGATGGCGACATCGATCCCATGTGGATTGAGAGTCTCAACACTCTGATGGACGACAATAAGATCCTAACGCTGGCCAGCAACGAGCGCATTTCATTAAAGCGCGAAATGCGTCTTCTCTTCGAGGTGGGCCACCTTAGGGCGGCCACACCCGCAACGGTATCCAGAGCGGGCATCTTGTACATAAACCCACAGGATCTGGGCTGGTCGCCGTAAGTCTTATATATGCGAGTCAATTTTCAGCTTCTTCCGATTAATAATATTTCCCGCTTGGAGCTTAGTTTCGTCTCGTCCTGGCTGGAAACGCGTGTCAACATGATCGAGCGGGGCATACTCACCACGCTCTTCGAGAAGTATTTTCCCAGTCTGATGCAACGACAGCACAATTTCCGTCGCATCACGCCCATTGCAAACATGGCCATGATACAAATGACCTGTCACCTGCTCGAATGTCTGTTGGACAGCGACCAGGTCGAGGATGACACGGCACGCAGCGCCGGTAAGCATCTCGGTATCAATTCGCACAGCCTACACCATGGCGAGCTCTCACATGAGTCCGCTGAGCTGGCTTTAGAGACGATCTTTGTGTATGTTTCCATGTGGAGCTTCGGTTCGGCCCTGTATCAGGACTCAATTATAGACTGGCATCGCGAGTTTCACAAGTGGTGGACGAGTGAGTTCAAGGACGTGAAACTGCCCAGTCAGGGCAGCGTATTTGACTATCAGCTTAATGTGCAAACATTGAAATTCCAACGCTGGTCCGAGCTGGCCGCTCAGGAGCAGCTCGACTGTCAAATCGATGCAGAGCAGCCGCTGCAGGTGCGTGCTTGACCTAGTTGGAAGTGAACTAATCATGCGAACAAAGCCTTTGGTTACACACAGAACGTGCTCATTTCAACTGCAGAGACCACACGTCTGGGCTACTTCCTCAAGCTGCTTATCGACCGCAATCTCGCCTGCATGCTGGTCGGCAGCTCTGGCTGCGGCAAGGGTGCCATCTTCCGTGAGCTCTTCAGCAAATATGCCAGCGCACAGGAGCTGCTTGAAATTGCTGTGACAGCTGTCAGCGGCAGCCAGCAACAGACGGCAGCAGTTGGTGGTGCTGCTGCTGCTGCTGCTGGTGGTGGCGGCGGTGGTGGTGGTGGTGGTGTTGGCAACGTCAGCGTGCATCGGAAGTCATCCTGCTCGACGCCGTTGCTAACCACTGTGCAGGCGACACACTTCAACTTCTATACGACATCTGAGATATTTCAGAAGATGCTCGACCGACCACTGGAAAAAAAATCTGGACGCTGCTATGCGCCCAGCGGACCGAAGCGACGTCTCATCTACTTTGTGAATGACCTGAACATGCCCGAGGTAGATTCCTATGGCACAGTGCAACCGCACACCATCATGCGTCAGTTCATGGACTATAGACAATGGTGAGTGGCAATTGACCAGGATTACTATTGTACTATTGTTCAATTTACATTTAGGTACGATCGTCAGAAGCTTCAGCTGAAGGACATTCGTCATTGTCAATTCGCGGCTTGCATGAATCCAACCGCCGGCTCGTTCACCATCGATCCACGCCTGCAACGTCACTTTTGTGTGTTTTCAGTGGCACCACCTGGCGAGGATACTCTCCACTACATATACAGTACGATACTGAACAACCACCTGGAGCAGCCGGCGCAGGGCTTCAGCAAGGAGATCCGTTCCATTGGCAATCTGCTGGTGCAGGTGGGAATCGCTTTGCATCGTCGCGTCGAATATGCCTTCCTGCCCACGGCCATTAAGTTTCACTACATATTCAATTTGCGTGACCTCACCAGCATCTACCAGGGCGTGATGAACAGTGTGGGCGCCCCAGTCTCAGCGGGCGGTGCTGCCAGCAGCTACAGCGGCACAGTCTGCAGCAAACCAGCCGAGCTGATGAGACTGTATGTGCATGAGGCATATCGGGTGTACCACGACCGACTGGTCGATCAGTATGACATTAAGTCGTTCAAGTCCTCCATACGGGATATATTCAAAAAGGATTTCGAGGACTTTGATGAGGACTTTGTCTTTGCCGAGCCGCTGATATACAGCCATTTCGCGCAATCGCTGGTGGATCAGAAGTACATGCCACTCAAGAGCTGGGACTCACTCTACCAACTGCTGCTGGAGGCGCAGGCCAGCTATAACGATATTGTGGGATACATGAATTTGGTATTATTCGAGGATGCCATGATACACATATGTCGGTAAATTGAACAATTCCTTTTAGAGAACATGATGATAATTATCATGTATTTTTGATTCCGTTAGCTTAGCCATAGCGACAATGCCAAGATCGACGTTTCGTCGGATTAATTGTACTCAAATTAAGCAAAATTTTATGTTATTTCTTAAATCTCAGCATCCTAAATAATTTCTTCGTCTCATTCTCAGCATTAATCGCATCCTAGAGAGTCCACGTGGCAATGCTTTGCTTATTGGAGTCGGCGGCTCCGGCAAACAGACACTGGCACGCTTGGCCGCGTTCATTTCTTCGCTGAGTGTGTCGCAAATTCAAATCAAACGCGGCTTTGGGCTGCTCGATATGAGAGACGAGATTGCAGGTCTGTACATGAAGGTGGGACTCAAGAATGTGGCGTCTGTTTTTCTCATATCCGATGCTCAGCTGCCCGATGAGTCTATACTGATGCTGATCAATGATATGCTCGCCTCTGGCGAGATACCAGAGCTCTTTAGCGATGATCAACTGGATACAATCATAAATGGTATACGCAATGAGGTGAAGCAGAGCGGCGCACTCGATACTAAAGAGAACTGCTGGCGATATTTTGTGGAGAAGGTGCGACGTCTTCTCAAAATCGTGCTCTGTTTCTCCCCCGTTGGACAAACGCTACGTATACGTGCCAGAAAGTTCCCGGCCATCATAAGCCGCACTGCCATTAACTGGTTCCACGAGTGGCCCAGGAGCGCATTGGAATCGGTGTCCCAAAAGTTTCTCACCGAAATCAGTGACATATTAGAGGTTTGTACGATGCGCTCACTTTATTTATATACGGCTGTGTTTTACGCCATATACAATTTACAACTTTTAACTCTGTGAAATGGTGACCGGTGTTCATTTACAGCCCGAACTCATACCGCCCATTGGCTACTTTATGGCCTACGTACACGGTACGGTGAATCAGATATCGAAAATTTATCTACAGAATGAAAAACGTTACAACTACACGACACCAAAAACATTTCTCGAATACATTTTTCTGTACCGCAAGCTGTTGGTTGACAAAAACGGGGAGTTCGCCCAGCGCATCGCCCGGCTGCAGAGCGGCATGGCCAAGTTGGCCGAATGCGCGCGTCAAGTGGACACCCTAAAAGTGAGTAATAATAATGATAGTGATAAAAATAGCTTAAAAAAAAATAAAAGTTATCATTTTTAAGCCTAATAAGATATTCAAATTTCAAAAGAATTCAGACAGAAAAATAAATCATTACCTTATATTTATGCTTATACTTAAGTTTTTGTAAATATTTAATACATTTTGGTAATCACAGCCCACTGATGGCAGCCAGTGTTGTGAAACTAAACAAAGCAATTCTTTTAGCCTTTTAATTTGCCTTTAATATTTAAAGATGCGTTCTCTTTAAATATATGCATAAAATACTAAAAAGCTTTTTGAATCTATTACAACTTATAAATTTTTATTAATTTCTATGCGTTGTGTAACACTAGATCAATGTCCCCAAAGTTCTCTAATTTTGCTGTTATTTTTTTCCAACTTGTTTGATACTTATATGCATTAAAACATGTAGAAAAGTATTGCAAATAAATATGAAAGCGTCTCGTCGAACCTCAAGGCAAACTTTTGAAGCAGCCAAAAAGTTTACTCTAATTCTTTAAAAGTAGACTAATTCAATTCAATAAATTATGACTTAAAGGAAAATAATGCAGTAATGAAAACAAGTTGACAAACTCGTTTTATGCTCCCGTACTTTTTTTTTCCTCTGGCACTGCATCACGCATACCTACATACATATGTATGAGAAGTGTATGTGACAGTGGACAGCGTGCATAAAGTGGCAGCTCCGATTTTTTTTCATTGGCGCTGCGATATTCGAACCGTCGCGTCGCGTGGCGTCGCGCCTGGCATTCAATTAGTGCGCTTAATTGAATTGTTGTTACAGCAAATCTGCTGCCCATTCGCCGCAGAGTGCAAAGTGCTGGTGGTGGTAGCCAGGTGGAGTAGACCCCAATGACGGTGATGGCAAGAGTGTCGATGATGGCACTCTTTGAATTGCAGAAGCCGTTTCCGGTTACGCAGCGTATACGCAAAGCTGGCAATGGCGCCGTGGCAATCGCATTTATTTTGTAGCATACTTTTGAGCGCTAAACAAAAAGTTCTGAAACAGACGTACAAAAAAAAAAGAACGCGTAATGTTATTTAAACTAATTGAATTTAATGGAACTCGTTTGTATTGAAGCACAGACGTCAGCTTCAGTTTCATGTGCGTGTTCGGAACACTCATTACATAATAAGGCGTGGCTGTGTAGAGTGTGTGCACATGTGTTTATGTTGGAGCTGCCACAATTTTGTGCGATAAAGTTGCACCGTGTCAATATTGGACCAGCGTGCCAGAGCTTTAATTAATTTCGTTGGCCAACAAAGTTTTAAAGTTTCAGTTTGAGTTAGAAAGAACTTTTCTTTTATGCGGTACACAGCATCAACTGGCAATACAAGAAGTTCAACTGGCAGCAAAAAATGCGGCTGCCGACAAGCTGATCGTCATTGTTAGCGCCGAGAGCGAGAAGGTGAAGCGCGAACGCTTTACAGCCTCCGAGGAGGAGAAACGTGTACGCATCATAGAGGAGGATGTTTCGATCAAGACCAAGCTCTGCGAGCAGGATTTGCGACAGGCCGAACCAGCTCTGGTTGCCGCACAGGCAGCGCTCAACACCCTTAACAAAAACAACCTGACCGAGCTAAAGTCATTTGGGTCGCCGCCCAAGGCCGTGGTTAACGTATGCGCTGCTGTCATGGTTCTACTGGCCACGAATGGCAAGATACCGCGCGATCGCAGCTGGAAGACAGCAAAACTGATGATGGTGCGTGTGGATCAGTTTCTCAATGATTTGCTCAACTACAACAAGGATAACATACATCCAAACATCATTGAGACCTTGCAGGAATACCTCAAGGTGTGTGCATATGTCATGTCTATATACGCAGTCTGTCTAGCTCTACTTTGGCGGACGTTGGAGAAAGATTTAGATGGTTTCATAATTGGAAAAAGCAAAATAAATTGGCCAAGCTCACGTAAAGAAATTCTTAACATAGTAAAGGTTTTTCCTAAGCCAGAAGCTTACTTATCTCACAAGCCAAACACTTTTCTACCTCTTTGGAAAGTCCTTTTCTAATCCCAAAAAAAATCAATATTTTCTGAGTGAGGCTGGATAAAATATTACGGTATAAAACGTAAGTTGTGTCCTCGCTTTTCCTCGCTTTTTGATTCCACCCATTTTCCGCCCGTGGAAACAATTGTTTACTGCTATTACAACACAGCTACGAATGAAATTTTTAAATAGATGAAAAGAGAATTCGATAAGTTCTTATTTCGGGCCTTAAAAGTATTTTTAAAGAATGAAACTTGAAACTTATCCCCAAACAATCTCTGAGCCGCACATTCCATTTAAGAAAATTTAAATTTGGGAAAAGCGAGAAGCAATCCTCTCAAATTAATTTTCTAGGAAGGCTGGAGTTACCCAAAAGTATTTCAAACAGTTTTTAATAGTCACACTTAATTTTAATAGGATCCCGAGTTCAATCCGGACAAAGTCGTCCAAAAGTCTGTGGCAGCCGCGGGCCTTTGCGCCTGGGTCATCAATCTGCATCGGTATCATCAGGTCTTCCTCATCGTTGGCCCCAAGCAGCAAGCCGTGCAGGATGCCCAGCAGGAATTGTTCGAGGCACGTGAGCGACTGCAGTATCTCAAGTCCAAAATAAACAATTTGGAGGACAAGCTGGCCGAGATCCAGGCCGAGTTCGAGCATGCCGTGGCCGAAAAGCAGAAGTGCCAACGGGAGGCGGACAAGACGTCCTTTACCATCGATCTGGCGCATAGGCTAGTCAACGGACTGGCCAACGAGAATGTCCGCTGGCGAGAGTCGGTGCAAAGGTGAGCAAGCGGGCGGTAGCCTCGCGTTTATGCGCCATCAATTATTAAATTTAATTTACATTTTGTGTGTGTCCGCAATCGCTTTAATTGCTTTTCCGCACCCCACTCCTCCCGTTCGCTCTGGACCTCAGTTGAACGAACTCCACCGGCATTTCGCACACTTGCGGCCCACCGCAGCAACAAAAGGCCGTAAATTTTATTTACTTGCGCTCATTTGGCCCACTGCAAGTCGCCACCTCACACTCCCCCCTCCCCACTCCCACCAACTACCCTCAACCGCCTCCAACGGCTACCAATTGTACAAATTGCACACTGTCGCAGGCAATGAACTGCCCGCCGTTTATTCTGTCGACAGTAAATAAGCTGCGTCAGAGGCGACTCCTCTGAGCCTGGCACTTTCAACACTTACCCCCGGTAATGGGATATACCCCAAATAGACACTTAAAGCACTGCACACGTTAAATTGGTCAGAACTCGCTTTGCTACAGACAATATTTCTGACATTAAAATCAGTCGTTTACTCTTTTAAAGCAAATGGGATGATTATAGTCAACAACTATAAACTTTAGATACTCCATGAGAGAAAGCACAGTTTTGTTCGGGGTGCCAAAGATGTATACGACTAATAAACCATATCATAATTTCATGATAACTACTTCGATTCCAAGATTGCGAGGTGAGATCAGAAGGTTTCGCTTGTTAAAGATCGGAAGGTACTGATCGATTCCAGCACCAAATAAAACAAATTGAAATATTAATTCGCTGCATAACATATTTTTACGGTTTGCCCAATTTCGATATCAATAACATGAAACTAACTAAAATAGTTCAAGGAATATTGTGTATGAATAATATTTTACCACATAAAGTTCCTGCACTTTAATGAAATCTTTTATTTATTACTCCAATTATAATAATAGTCAAGTTATTTTTATCTTCGGTGAAATCATATTATAAATCATATGGATTTTCATGATGAACACAATTATTATAGAAATAGGAGAAACATGAATGTTTTTTCCGAGTAAAGAAATATATGAAAATGCGTATACATTCATGTAGTTGCTCGTAGCCCACACACAAATATATTTAGATGCAATTGTTAAACTTAATCAAATTCACATAAATGTCAGCTGCAATATTCGGGCAGTGCACAAAATGGGCTCTCGACACCTTTGGCTGGCCATTGGCAATGACTATTTCCAGATTTGCCATGAAATTCAATTGATTGCGCATGCAAGCCAAAAGAATATCCACAAAGGCTAAGCCTGTCTGGTGAAATATGGCAGCGGGGGGGTGTATGCGGTGCAGTGTGCCTTTTTTTGCATCTAAATAACTGCAAAATTCACACACGTGCACACATGGGTATTTAATCGGCCGCACAATTCGACAACGTCAGCACCTGACTCGCCAGAGGGCACATTCATGAATACATATGTATGTATGTGCAAAGGGTATTGAATTATGAAAAATGTCTAACAGGCAGGTGTGTTTCCTATAGCTGTGTGAATGTTCCCTTGTGTGTGTGCACGTGTGTGTGTGTGTGTGTGTGTACGTGTGAGGCTGCCATTCAAACTAGTTGTGAGCCATACATGGGATGCGTACAATGCACTGGCAAAGGAGCAACTGCCTCAGTCAAATACTGGCAGAGGATTCCATGCCCAAATGTCAAAATTGAAAACCTTATTGCTCTGAGCACATTCAAATATTTATGAAAATATAATTTGCGCTCAGCAACAACAACAGCGAGGGAAGAGCAGTAGTAGTAAAAACTACAAATTGTGCGGTTGCAGCTGTATATGTGTGTGTGTGTGTGTGTGTGCGTGTCTATGTGTCAGTGCGTGGACCGTTATGACTTGCATATAAATTTCTATTTGACTATAGCATTAAATATTCTCCAATGCATGTACATACATATGCATGTACACAAACTGCGACACACACAGAGATACGCATATTTGTAAACGCGCATGTGAATGTATTGGTGCTGGTGCTGGCAATAGTTGTTGCTGGCATTGCAAAGCTGCTTTTGAAATATATTTGCTGTTTTGAATGAGAATGCTCTTATGGCACTTGACAGGTATTTTATCAAATTCTGAATGGAATATTTCCTTAAAAACAATTATTTTAATTTCACAATTCGCACACACACACAAATGCAAGTGGACACACAGTTGCAGACATATATATATATATATATATATACTATTAGAAACTCACATATGAACCATTATGTTTGTATAAGAACTAAGCATAAATCATTTAAACTTTAGGGCCATAATCTTTTGCAAAATGTTACGATTACTTGTTCAAAACAGAGGGAGCATCTCAAGTACGATGCCCTACTTGCAGTCGGGCCACCCTTACCCTGCATCAATTATGGTGCATCTCAAGTATTTTAATAATAGCTGGCATGCAGCAATTTCTAGTAGGAATTTGTAGGGCCACTTGTACACGAGAACACGAATCAATTTTTAAGGACAGCGCAGAAATTGATGAGGATGCAGATGATGATGCTCCTAATGCTGATGTTGTTCCTCTTGTTCTTCTTGTTCTGCTTAAGTCGATAAAGTTACATCCAAGTCATAGCAAGGACTTACGCGGGCTGATTAAAAAGTCTGCGACTTTATTGGCTCAAAAATTAGTTTAGCCGTTTTATGGTCGAATAAACTTTGCTTAATAAGCTCAAACTTTTTATAATTATTTACAATTTTTCTTGCGAGTAAATTGAATTTTTGTTTTAAATAAATGAACGCATATTTTTCTTTACAATAAAATACTGCGACGGCATTTCACAAGCATTAAAATAAAATAAGTATTTAGGTCACATGAAAATGCATTAAATTTTCAGCAAATATTGCTTTTTATTTTTTGACTTTCAAAGGGTAAACACGAAAATATTTATTGGCCACCTTTTTTTATGCTGTAATCCCTAAAGGAAAAAGAGTTTATTCGTTTTATGCCGTATCTAATATCTAGCTAACTTTTTGAACCTGTGATAGTCTATCAATAAGCAGACTTATTGATCCGCCCTCGCATTAAACCCTCTTCAATGTTATTATTTTTCCAATTTCCCGTCTATTCAAATGCAATGGATGCTCGACGAGCAGCCTTCAGTTTCCTGCTGCACTTGTAATTTATACTTGAAGCACAATTTAAAGTCGCTAAGGGATGGATTAATGCCCCACCGTTTAGCAGGTCAACTTTCACGTTTCACGTTTTTCGTATTCTATTCCATTGAAAAGTTTACAGGCAAAGATTGGCACCCTACCCGGAGATATACTGTTAATTTCCTCGTTCCTGTCGTACGTGGGCTGCTTTACGCGCCGCTATCGCGAGGAGCTGCAGCACAAGATGTGGCTGCCGAGCTTTTGCAAAATGGACGTAAGTGCTTGCTGGTGTCTAAATGCTTGGCTTAACTGGGCTCACTTTGTCTGTGCCACAACAGCCCCAGATACCGCACACCCAGGGAGTCGACCCGCTGGCGCTGCTCTCGGACGATGCACAAATTGCCACCTGGAATAATGAAGGTCTGCCCATGGACGGCATGTCCACGGAGAATGCAACAATACTGCAGCACTCAACGCGCTGGCCTCTGATGATTGATCCACAGCTGTGAGTACCATCATTTTCGGGATTAAATGTAATATAACACAGAGAGCGAAAGTTGCGAGTCGCAGGCGACCGACTTTTAGATGCTCTATAGTCTGGTTCGCAATATTGTAATATTTCTTTTTAGTAGAAGTAATACTACTTTTTATAATAACTTTTTATAGGTATATATAGAAAAAAAAGAAACATAAATCTAGAATTTAAGCAGCGATTATTCTTATTTTCTCTGTATTGTTTCTTCTTGAATCTAAACAAAGGTTTGTCACAAAAAAATGTCTTTAAAAATAGGCAGATACTAAAATCCATGGATTTGTCTTTAAGCCTGCATTTTATTTAGGCTTATGGAGAGCGAAACGGGGATAAGAAAAAAGTCTGGGTTACCAGAGTCTGCATGCCAGATAAGGTGTTCATAGCTTTTTCGAAAGTTTTAAAATGGATTTTATAATAAATTAGGCACTTACATATGGTATTGATTGGAATACTATGAAAGCTTCTATATCCACCCAACTCGTCGACGCTCAGTCGCAACCTTTCCAAAATTATTTCCATACAAAATACATTCTCATAACCGGACACTCCAATAACAGAACTTCCTTCCTTTAAAAAAATATTTTTCATAAGCAGTCAGAAGCGAATTCGCAAGCAAGAATTCTAAAAAATCTGTTGTTAGCCTTTGACCAATTCTGATTTATGTACAGATTAATGCCATAAATGAAAATAAAGATTGTTTGAAGGAGTTAGTTGCTTAGGATAAGAAAAATATTTAATCTATTAATGTGAGCTTGATTTAAACCCACAAACTTGGGTTAAATAAGCTCTGCTGTTTAAGAACGTTTATATACTTTATAAGGGCAGACTTGTTCACTTCTGACAGTTTCTTACACTTATTAACGTAGTAAGTAAGTGGTTTTGATCTAGTTTTAATGGCATTTAATCAGTAGGTAATAATTACATTACAGTCAGGGCATTAAGTGGATCAAGAGCCGCTTTGGAGCCGCTCTGGTGGTGCTGCGTCTGACCCAGCGCGGTTTTCTGGAGGCACTGGAGAAGTCTATCTCACGTGGCGACACGGTGCTCATTGAGCAAATCGAAGAGACCATGGACACCGTCCTGGAGCCGCTGCTGAGTCGCGCGCTGATCAAAAAGGGCCGTTATCTGCGCATTGGCGAAAAGGAAATGGAGTTCAATCCGAATTTCCGTCTCATACTGCACACGAAGCTGGCCAATCCGCACTACAAGCCGGAAATGCAGGCGCAGACGACGCTAATTAACTTTACGGTGACACCGGACGGCCTCGAGGAGCAGCTGCTGGCGGAAGTGGTCAAAATTGAGCGGCCGGACCTAGAGCAAATGAAAACCGATGTCACCATCCAGCAGAACATGTTCAAAATCTCGCTCAAGGCACTTGAGGATGAGCTGCTGGCCAGACTGGCCTCGGCCGGCGAGAATGTGCTCGAAGATCATGCGCTGGTCCTCAATTTGGAGAACACCAAGCGCACTGTCGATGAAATTGAATCCAAGGTACGCGAGGCTCACCTTACCACGTTGCAAATTGATGAAACCAGAAACATATATCGTGCCGCGGCCAAGCGGGCTGCCATTTTGTACTTTGTACTCACGGATCTCAATCGCATCAATCCCATATACAAGTTCTCCTTGAAGTCCTTTATGAATGTTTTTCGGCAGGCCATTGCCGTGGCGCCTGACTCAAAGAGCTACGAGAAGCGAGTGCTTCATTTGGTGGACTCGATTACACTGCAAACCTATCGGTATACCCTGCGCGGTCTCTTTGAGGCGGATAAGCTGACCTTCACCTCGCACCTGACGCTGCGCATCATGATTGCCGCCGAGCAGGTTGCCAAGGATGAGACCGATTTTCTGCTGCGCTATCCGCACGATCCCAACACGCTGTCCCCATTGGACTTCGTGGGACGCAGCGCCTGGGGCGGCATCAAGTCGCTGGCGCTCGTCGAGCACTTCTATGGCATCGACAAGGACATGGAGAACTACACGAAACGCTGGCGTAAGTTCATGGCCAGCGATGCGCCCGAACGGGAGCAGTTCCCAGGCGAATGGAAGCATCGCTCTCCACTGCAGAAGCTGTGCATTGTGAGAGCTCTGCGGCCCGATCGCATGACCTATGCCATGGCCCAGTTTGTGGAGCAGACAATGGGTCGCGCCTATGCCGAAGTGCAGACCCCGCCCTTTGTGGCTATCTTCAAGGAGCTAAACGCGGCCACGCCCGCCTTCTTTATACTCTCACCTGGCGTCGATCCCATACGCGATGTGGAGCGACATGGACAGCAACAAGGTTTCCATGCGGATGCCGGAACTCTGATCAATATCTCACTGGGGCAGGGACAGGAGCTGCTGGCCGAGGAGGCCATCGAGCAGGCCTTGGCATCGGGCCAGCAGTGGGTCATACTCCAGAATATTCATCTGGTAGTGAACTGGTTGCCCACGCTGGAAAAGCTCATCGAGCGTATAGTGCTGCAGTCGGAGTCGCAAGGTGATTCCAATTTCCGTCTGTTTATTAGCGCGGAGCCTGCTCCTGATCCACAGTACCATGTCATACCACAGGGCATTTTGGAGTCCTCACTCAAGGTGGTTAACGAGCCGCCCGCGGGCATGGCCGCCAACCTGCACAAGGCCTGGGATAATTTCTCGCAGGATACGCTGGAAACGTGCACCCAAGAAGCCGAGTTCAAGTCCATACTCTTCGCGCTCTGCTACTTTCATGCTGTGGCCGGCGAGCGCCGCAAGTTCGGACCTCAGGGCTGGAACAAGGTGTATCCGTTCAACATCGGCGACCTGACCATCTCGGCCAGCGTGCTGCACAACTATCTAGAGGGCAGCAATCGCATACCTTGGGAGGATCTGCGCTATCTCTTTGGTGAAATTATGTACGGGGGCCACATAACCGACGACTGGGACAGACGGCTATGCCAGACGTTTTTGGAGGAGCTGCTGCAGCAGGATCTCATCGATGGTGACTTCGAGCTGTGCCCCGGCTTTCCAGCCCCGCCCAATCTCGAATTTGAAGGGTATCATGACTACATCACCGAGATGCTGCCCGAAGAGTCGCCTCTGCTCTATGGACTGCATCCGAATGCTGAAATTGGCTTCCTCACAAGCGCCTCGGAGCAGCTGCTGCGCACCATTTTTGAGCTACAGCCGCGCGAATCGGAGCTGAGCACACATTGCGGTGCACCGCGCGAAGAGCTGGTCAAAATCATGATTGACGACTTCCTCGACAAGCTGCAGGACGAGTTCAATCTGCAGGCGCTGCTCAATCGCGTGGAGCGCAAGACGCCCTTTGTGGTTGTTGCGCTGCAGGAATGCGAGCGCATGAATGCGCTTATTCGCGAGATTAAGCGCTCCCTGCGCGAACTAATGCTCGGCCTGAAGGGCGAGCTGACCATCACACAGGAAATGGAGCGTCTGGATTATGCCATTTTCTATGATCATGTGCCGACGGCCTGGGCCCAGCTGGCGTACCCCAGCATGCTGGGCCTGCAGGGCTGGTTCGCCGATCTGCTGCATCGCATCAAGGAGCTGGCCGGTTGGCTGAATGATTTCAAGCTGCCCTGTGCCATCTGGCTGGGTGGCCTGTTCAATCCGCAGAGCTTTCTCACGGCCATCATGCAGGAGAGCGCCCGCAAACATGATCTGCCCCTGGATCGCATGCTCATCAGCTGTGACGTGACCAAAAAGCAAAAGGATGACGTCACGTAACTAGCTTGGTTGAACCCAACAGCTCATATTTATCCACACCTTCCTGCTTTCAGATTGCCACCTGTTGAGGGAGCTTATGTCCACGAGCTTTATCTGGATGGCGCCAGCTGGGACTGCCAGCTGAACTCCATTGTGGCGCTGCATCCCAAGGAGCTGCTCTGCGCCATGCCAGTGATCTACATCAAGTCCATTGTGCAGGAGAAACAGGAGCTGCAGCGCGTCTACGAGTGTCCACTGTACAAGACCAGGTGGGCGACAATTGAACTCCTCCAGGCTCCGTTTATTTCATCTCTCTGCCACTTGCAGGTCGCGTGGCAACACCTACGTCTGGACCCTCAACCTGAAAACACGCGACCGCCCAGCCAAGTGGATACTGGCAGGAGTCGCGCTTTTGTTGCAGCCCTAAAGCCTAATTGATACCCAGCATGCAACGGAGCGATTCATTGTTCGCTTCGTCATCATTGCAAAGCGTCGATTTCTTCTCAAGAAATTCATCAATATACTTATATTTATTTTTAGCGCCTTCGTTAATTCCCACACACCTCAACTCACGTAGATTTTGCTTAATTATATTTCCAGTTTTATGAGTAAATATAACACAACGAGTACCCTACATACCCTATAAATTGAGGCCTGTTTTCAAGTGGGTCTCTTAAGTTTAAATAATTTTGCTTAAGTATTTATAAATATGGTATATTTAAACACACACCGAAATACGAATACTCTATATATTACGACCTGTTTTAAACTGAGTTGATAAAAGTTGTGTTTAAAATAAGTTTAAATAATGCTGCGAATATATTCGACACCCTGTAGCTCAAGATCTTACCGATAAGGTAAATTGACTTTCTTAACACTTGCTTACAAAATTGAACAAAATGCAGCAGTTAATTAGCTTAACTGAAAATAAATGTTACCCAATGTTAAACAGCTTTGAAATCGTAAGGGTATATAATATATAAAAACGAGAAAGAAGGGCTATCTTTGGCACGCCGAAGATTCAATACACTTGCAGACAAAACCTTTTCATAATGCACAGAGTGCTTTGCCCGTATCTAAGAAGCACAGAGAAAATAGTTAATGCCGAGTATGTTAATAGGATTTTGCATATACATACATACATACATATATGAGGAGCATAGTAAAACTAATAAATTCCGAGTTCGGTCAAGATATCTTGATAAACAAAAAAGTTTTTCATACAACTTAGTTTTCGACCGATCGTTTCTATATGATATAGTGGTCTGATCCAGCTGGTTCCGACATATATACTGCGTGCATCAAAAAGCGGCACTTCTGTAAAGTTTCATAAAGATAGCTTTAAAAAAACTGAGAGACTAGTTCGCATAGAAACAGACAAACGGACGACGGGCATGGCTAAATCGACTCGACTGTTGATAGTAATCAAGAATATATATACTTTATAGGGTCGGAGATGTCTTCTTCTATGCGTTACACATTTCACGACAAAATTATAATACCCCCTGCAAGGGTATAAAAAGGGCGCTAGCTGTTATCAGTTGGAAACGTACGCAAAGTTCAAGCACCTGGGCCAATTTGTCTGATTTATTGAAAAGGCAGGAAATCTGATAAAGCTTAAAAACACATTCGTTTTGCCAAAAACTCAGCATATTTGTAAAAATTAAATTAACACAAAATTAAACATAATAGAGGATATGCCTAGCTATGCTTAAAGAAAAGTTCTGAACGTTCGTTTAGCGCAATAAAAATTAATTTCAGCGTTTTCTAGATTGTTAATTGTTTTCTAAACAAGCCGAAAGTCTCGCATTGCTGGAGATAAACAACACGAGCTTATTTCGCCTAAAAACGCTAATCAGCGAACTTCATGCCTAGATTATTACAGCCCATATTATTAGAGTCAATGAGTCTTTCACGGAAGCCACGTGAGCCCGGGCCACAGCCAGCTGCTGCCCGCGTGCGCGGCCCATACATAATTATGATATATGTATGTAGTATATACGCAATCGGCCGACTTATTCCGCCTCCCACTTGCCGATCACGTGCAGGTTTCTTTGCCGGCGTTCAATCAATGAAAGTCTGAGAGATTTCAAGTACATGCTAGTTTATGAGCGCTGATAAGCCAGTTTTTTATAATACGTCAGAGCTGGTCGGGGGGAAAAGTACTGGCAAAAAAAGAGGGGCTCGACGCTTTAATTTTTAAGCGTGATCTCAGCTAAATTAATTAGTCGCCTGTTTACATTTTAGAGATATGACGCGCTGGGCTTAAATGGTTTGCATCTGCTGTTTAATTACGCAACTCAAAGTTGAATTTACGAAAACTGAAATCACACGCTGCCAACGACCTTTGCGCTCACTTTAAAGAGCGAAGCCTTTTTCGGCACAGCTCGTTGCCAAGCGGTGATTTCTTATACCCTGTATCCGATATTGGATAACATAGATTACGTCTGGATTATTGACTGCAATGGCACCGATATATAAGTATATAATATTATATTCAACTGCTAGAACCGCCTACACACGCTAGGTATTTTCCACTCTGCATACCCTCGAATCATCGGGTTGTTCTGATATTTTGCGCAGTTCGCCTTGGGCATATCTTCGGTTCATATACTCGCAAAACGGTTTGAACCCGGAACTTAAATATTTTATTTACAATGAACCGAACTTAAAACCGGGTTCGATGTACAAAGAGCAAAAATATTTTTTTTTTATAATTAGTTTCTGTAATTAAAATTAAATTAAATTCCGAATTAAAAGAAGAAAAATTGGTTTTGATCAACAAAAATATAGCATATTAAATTTAAAATAAATGGAATAGTTCTATTGAAATTAGAAGCCTGAGGCGAGGCATTGATTCGAACCACCCCACCGTAAATATTTACTGGGTGCGCAGCACATGAGATTACACTTTATACAGAGTATCACGCCGTCGAATACGCTCAATATAGTATTTTTTAGCTTTTTCACCAATGTCTGCGCCTATTATGTCAGCATGCAAACTCTCGCTTTGGCGTATTCCCCGAACACGAGAAGAACGCGTGACACAGTCCCAGCGAACGTATGACCAATTCGTCCGCTCGACCGACACGCCGATCGTTCGTCGGGAGGGGGGGACGGGCGCAACGAGCGGACGTAGGCATTTTGTTAGTTTTGTAGATAAAAGTAAGTCGGTTTGGCCGCCGACGAGACGATGATTGCAGCGCGTCGGTCGACCCAATCAGACAGACATTACTAACAAACCGGCCCCGCGTCGCCCCGCTCTACGCCTGTCGCTCGTACGAAAAGTATTTAAATGGGAAATGATTCGGTATGAATAGTCAGAATCGCACTAATTGTGAAGCGGCAAACGTCTCACACGGCATAAGAAATCAAATAGAAAGCAAAAGAAATATATTTCCGTTGTCAGGGGAAATTCAGAGGCAACAAATCCTATTTAGAGGTAAGCACAGACTTTCTAAATTTAATACTCAAATCTAATTGTGGGCACACGAAAATGTGGCACCCAGGCAGCGGAATATTTTTACATTTCAATATTAAAATTATTTTATACTAATTTTTAAACACTTCGTTCTTTTTAGAAAAATTAAATATATATAAAATATGGCTACTGCACACTTACCCATACAAAAGTACAAATACCATGAGCACAATGGCGAGCCCGGCTGCCAGGGTCTGGAGGAAGTGAATCGCATGTTCCGTAACTTCTGGGATCCCACGGCTTACTGGATGTGCGATAAGCAGGGCACGCGCGCCCGCCTGCAACGCTGCCCGAAATCGCAACTGTACTCCGAGGAGCTCGGACGTTGTGTGCACTATACAGACTGGAGCTGGACGGAACCCAAGGAACCTCCAAGTCGTCCAAAGTGCTAGACACCGTTCAGAGCTAATCAGCCCGCACACACTCTCACTATTTATACTTAATTTAATAATATACATATACATATTTAATATTTAATTCGTTTTTAGAAAACACTTTACTCTTTAAGTGAAAAAATACAGAAAAAATCAGTACAAAAAGAAAAGTATTTTCGTATTAGAATTAGGTGTCTATTAATTTCTTAACAATTTCGGGTATTGTTTAAATAGTGAGCGTACTTGTTGCCGTCAAGTATTTGAATTTAACTGGAATGCAAATGCTTTTTACAATTGGGAATGTTTCGTAATTGGAAACGGTTGATTATAGCAAAACTCAATTATATGCAGGTTGTGCGACATATAAATAGCTGCATTAAACAAGCATATTTTTCAGTTAACGCTTGCAGCTAGTTAAAATTTAACTAACTAGTTTCAAACTAAATTATTAACTGGCCTTGGCCTGAGTGTTTGGGCATGAGACTTAAGATTTTTTTTCAGGCGATTTGAGAGAAAGGCAAGAGAACTGCCGCAAAAAGAGAACTCAAGACAGCACAGCCGCTCTTAGAGCTCCACGTGGGCGCCCTCCTTGTTGATCACCTTAAGCTTTTCCGTTTGCGGAAGCTTGATGTCGTCGGGAATCTCTTCCTTGACAGGCGCCGGCTTCTTTGGCACTTTGCGCTTTGTGGTTGTTGTTTCCGGCTTTGGTGTGGTGGTTGTTGTTGTTGTTGTTGTTGTGGTTGTTGGTTTCTTTGTTGCCGGCTTGGGCGTCGTTGTTGTTGTCGTAGTTGTTGTTGTTAATGGCTTAGCTGTGGTGGTCTTTGGCTTGGCAGTTGTTGTAGTTGTCGTCGTTGGTTTCTTGGTAGTCTGTGGCTTCTGTGTGGTGGTGGTAGTCGTAGTGGTGGTGGTAGTGGTGGTGGTGCTGGGTTTTGGTGATGCCTGTGCCTTGGGCTTGGCAGTGGTGGCAGCCGGCGGTGCACCAACGGACGCCTCCAGACCCTCACCCTCGACGCGCACATTGCGCACTTTAACGGTGGGCTGCTTGGCCGCCTTTGGGGACTTGACGCGTGCCAAATATTGGTTGAAGGGCGAGCCTAGATACAAGTAATCTTGGTATTCCAGCACATGTGAAACGCCCACAACGGACTTGTCAAAGCCATGCAGCGAGCCCACAATATTGCCATTCCAGTCTACACGAACCACAGTGGTGCGCTTGGGTGCCAGCAGCATGGCCATCTCACCATGTCCTACAAAGTGAACAAAGCGCTGCGAGAATTTGTTGGGATACACGCTGTTGATGTAGCGGAAAGGCAGCTCGAAAAGCGCTAGCATACGGGCCAGGAACAGACGTATGCTGGGGAAGCGTGAGAAGAGCGAGTAGGTGTTGGGATGCTCGCTATCGGCACTAGACACTATAGGCACCCATATACCCTCGGCGTCGGGCGTCAAATTGTCGGGCAAGCCGGGTAAGCCTTCTACAAAGACCTCGCTCTCACCAACCTTGGAGCCCTTCAAATGATACTTTGTCAGACGCATAGCGCCCGTCTCGGCGACCACGACGAAGTCTTCGTTTGGGCTCAACGCAACACCGTTGGCAAAGAACAGTTCGTCCAGCAGAACCACGCTCACATTCTTGGCCCGATTGTATTTGAATAGACTACAAAAAAGAGAAAACATTTGTGAGAGAGCCGTTAGGTCAGAAACCGGTTTCGACAGCAGCCGTCCGTTTAAATAGTTAAATGAACTCACCGTCCAGACGGATTAGCGAACGAGGTAAAGACCAAATCTTGAATTGTAAAGTCTGAAGAGGAGTCGGTCCAGTAGATCTCACCCTCTTTGCTGACGGCCACAGAATTGAAGGTCTTGGCAGGGCGATTAATGCTCTTGCCAGGCAGCTCTTGGGCCGGCGACACCAACAGTTTCTTTTGATTCGTGGTCAGGTCAACTTGCCACAGTCCATAGTAGGCGTCGGCAACGATCAGATTATTTCCCTGCGTGTCGAATGCCATGCCGAGTGGGCGACCACACTGCGCCTCCTCATATACTTCCGCTGCAAGAAGCTCAAGTCTTAAACAAATTCTCCCAATGCAGGGCATAAGACTTACCGCAGGGCTGGCCGAACTTTGCCACATGCGTGACGTGGTTCGAGGTTAACTTGATGACCTCACCGCCATGTAGGCCAGTGTAGATCTCATTGTTGCGCGCAATCAGGCACTCTGGGCCGTAGACGCGGTTCTCCAGCAAACGCTCAGCGCCCTCCAGATGAAAGTTGGACTCAAGGGCGCCCTTAAGTTCTTTGGGCGGGGCAACGCTGTATAGAATTGGTTACTGGAAGCAATTCAATTGTTGCAATTAACTTACGTGAAGTCTTTATAGGGGAAAGTTGTGCGTGGGGGCAGACCCGGCAACAAAATTATAATGAGAAAGAAAATCATGAAATTCATGATCCTCACACGCAAGGTTTTCAGCAGACCCATGGCTACGTACGTATGTGTTGGACCCGCCCTTTTCACTAATTAAACAATATAATATATAGTAAATGGCAGCACGGGCCAAGAAAAACTAAAAAGCGACACGACGGCAAAGTTCAATACGAAAATGTAAAAGTCATCGCACCGGTGCAGTAAAACAGGGCTGCAAAACAAACAATATCTAATCCGGGTATTAGATATGAGCAATGTATGCTGCTATGCAGTGACCACCGCCTAATAAACTCTTAAGCATATCAAATGCCAAACAACTTGTAAATTTTTATTACCCACAATCTAATATCATTTAAATTTATCATCTATTCACCTTAAAGCATATTGAATTGAAGAAAATTGTCCAATTGCAAGTCACGACTTGCAGTATATTTGCTGGCAACGCTCAGTCAGAAATACCAAAATAACGTTTATCGACCGGCCGCCACACTGTGAACTAATTCTTATTGTGGAACCGGCCAACTGAAATGCTCTTGTTTTTGTGACAACGCAGTTGATAATGAGTGACAACCAGATCAGCAAAGAGGAGGCCTACAACATGGAGCAAGATCAAGAACAGACTGGCAAGCACTATTCCCGCTGCAGCAGCGCAGGCAGCACCCACACACCCAACTCTTCGGCGCACAATTCTGGTAAATTGTTCGCCGTTGCAAATTTGTTTGTTTGTTTTCGCGTTCGGAGCGTGACGAACAGCTGATAATGATGGCATTGAGTTTCCGTTGCCAATGTTATTGTTGCTATTGCTGTTGCTGTTCCTGGTATCCACTATCAGCGAACAGCGTTTTATTACACCACCCGACCTGTCTCTGTCTGTTTTTACCCCCCAACACAGATGATGAGGACGATAGCGGCGATGCGCGACACTCTGGCGCCACAAACGCGAGCTCGACGCTGAGCTACAAGGAGCGTAGGCGCTCGGCGCACACGCAGGCGGAGCAGAAGCGTCGGGATGCGATCAAGAAGGGCTACGACAGCCTGCAGGAGCTAGTGCCGCGCTGTCAGCCGAATGACTCGTCCGGTTACAAACTGAGCAAAGCGCTGATACTGCAAAAGTCCATCGAGTACATTGGCTATCTGAATCAGCAGAAAATCAGGCAGGAGGACGAGAGTGCGGCACTGCAGAAAGAGGTGACGGCGCTGCGCATTATACAAAACGGCTACGAGACTATGCTGCAACATCAGCAAGCCAATCCGGGGCCAGAGGAGGCGCGCCTCACAGACGAGGCCAAATTTCAAGTGGTCAGCACTCCCAGAATCCCATATGCTAATTCCAATTGACTCGCGTTTCACAGTTTCAGGCAATACTGGACGAAATGTTTGAGACATTCCAGAACATACCCATGGACAACTTCAAGCAGCTGACCGGCGGCGTCATACCGTGGCTGGAGGAGCATTGCAAGCCGCACATTCTGCGCAACATTCTCAGCCGCACGCTGCAGCAAATGGCCCAGGAGACACAGGAGAAACAGCAGCAGCAGCAGCAGGCCATGGAGCAGGAAACGGGCGAGGGCTTCAGTTGAAGGCCATTTTGTTAAGTTTTCCGTTTTTGTTTTTTCTCTCTTTATCGTTTGGTAAAATGCTTTCAATTAGTAAATGCGTCATTTAGTTGTAAAAGCGAGCGTTACGAGAATTGGAGACTTACATTGACTTTTTGGCTTATGCTTAAAGATTAGATAAATGCTACAGCTAGATAAACGCAGCCCAGACACATAAATTTAGCTTAGTGCGTGTCTGTCGCGCCCGTCCAGCAGCTGACGCACAACGTCCGCCTGCTCTCTGGCGCCCAAAAGCTGCAGCAACTGCAGCAGTACATTTAACGTGTATGCCTTGAAGCGACCCACTTGCTCGTTGACCCCCAGAGCTGTCAGCAGCTGCTGCTGATATTGCTGCAGCCGGGCCACTGTCCAAACGTGACGCGCCTCGTGCTGCAGTTTGAGCACGCCCGCTTGCAGGGTGTACAGCAGAGCCTCGTAGAAGTTGTCCTCTTGCAGCTGCGACGCCATTTTGGCGCTGGCCAGCAGCACCGCCGGCAGATCGCGGCGAAAGTCGTGTGCGCGCACAAAGCAGGTGGCAGCCAGCAGACGCACCTGCTCGCATTTGTGCCGCAACAAACGCCAGCTGAGACGGCGGAAGCGTTGCAGCAGCTGAGTCGACTGCTGCGGCTGGCCAGTGGTGCACAGATGCTCCACCTTGGAGAGGAAACCCAGAAAGAGTATAATCGACGATGTGACCTTATCGGTATTGCAGCAGCGTAGCATGTGCTCACAGGCCTTCGGTAGCAGACATGCCAATTCCTCGTAATTCATTTCACTCGGCTCCCAGGCCAGCTTGGATTCAAACTCCGTCGCCTGCCGCTGGCCGACCAGCTTGCCAAGCGTAGCGCCGAACAGTTGCAGCGCGGCATTCGAAATGGTCCACTCGGTGTTGTCGATGTGCGCTATGGCCACCAGCATGATCTCGTCGTAGTACTTGCACATGGCCGGCCGCAGCTCCGTGTCCCGCACCAGCACGCACAGATAATGCAGCGCCAAGGCCTCCCAGCGATCGTGGTTGCTGCTACTGTTAGATGCGTCGCTGTTGGAGGCTCCATTTAGCCGTTGCAGTATGCGCTGCACGGCACGATGCAGCAGCAAACGCTGGCGCGGATCGTCATTTTTGAGCACATGCAGAAACATGATAGCGAAACCGGCACCGCGCCGCGTGGTGCTCACCTGGCGGCACTCGGAAAGCAGCTCCCGCTCCAGGCAATTGTGCAGCAGCTGAAAGCCCTGATCATCGCTAGCCAGCGTGCTGGTTATAGCGCGCGTTAGCTTGCCAATGCTCAGTCCAGCGGCCTCGATGGCGCCCTTGTGCCGGCAACGAGTCAGCACAGCCACATTAATGTCCAAACAGCGCCGGAGAGCTGCGTAGTCGGGCGCGCTTTTAGTTGAGCGGAGCAGCGCAGAGCCCAAGCTGGTGGCCAAGTCACAACTAGCCTAAAAAAAACAGTGGATTAGTCGAGGCGGCGCCTGGATTGTTAAATTTAGCTACCTTTAATGTCAGCCAGAAACTCATTAGCAAATACTTGCGACAGGCTTCGGCATCCTCAAGCGCCTCGTAGACGCTCTCACTGACCAAGAGCTGCAAGCTCTCATCCATATCCTGAAAACTGGCGGCTGTTGCATCCGCTTCCTCGCGCCTGGCATTGGCCAGATTAAGAAACTTCAGTATTACAGTGAGTATACGTTCGAGCAGCGGCAATAGTTCCACGACGACTGCTTCGAGGCTACGACTGCCACCGCTGACCAGCTCGTCCAGCACGCGAATGTGGCCAAATAGATGCCCGCCAGCACACTTTGTGGTCTGCAGCGGATCGTGCTGGAATGCATCGAATTTGCTCGTCAATTGCTGCAGGCATTGATCGTAGAGTGCTTTGGCCAGCTGTGGATCGGGACAGCTGCGCACCAACAGCTGCGCGTAAAGCGAGACCAGAGCACACTCATCCACATCGGAGCTGGTGCAGAGCGTTAGGCAACGCTCGTTGCATTGCATGGTGTCAACATGGCCCAGTTGAAGCAGCAGTAAAACCGTCAGCTCCAGCGCATCGTCGAAGCCTTGGGGATCGTTGAGAGACTTGAACAACAATTGTGCCACGGTGCTCGGCTGAAAGACGCCATGATCGATGAGAAAGGAGCCCAGCTGCTGGTTTTGTTGGGTACTGCACATTTTTGCATTCTTGGTGACCTGCGCGCTGTACAGAGACTTGTGCAAAATCTCGAGCATTTTCAGTGCGAATATTTTGGGCTGATAAACATCGCAGAGCATGTCCTGCTCGAGCAGCTCCTGTAGCTGGCGAAAGAATCGCTTAATATCGTGAGCCAGTGCATCGCTGCCCGCGCCGCCGTCCACTTTTAGGACCTTATTAAAGTGCTTGGCCGTGTGGTTGATAATATTCGGCATTTTGCCCAGCATTGTGTTGCGAAACTCGGAGCTTTCCACGCCGCGATGACGCTGCATGAAGCTGAAGAAGAACTCTAGGCAATCCTCTACAGCAAAATTGGACAGATTGTCGACCAGAAACTTAAAGATCAACAGCTGGGAGTCCGTTTCAAATGCGCTGCAGTTGGTCAACAGTTCTGTGCTAATCTTAAAGAAATGCAGCTTGGATGCCACATAGATCTCCTTGGCAAACATGCTGAATATAAGTATTAAACGTTGCTGCTCGCTGGCCGAACGTGCCGCCTCCGAGCTGGCCAGGAACTCGACAATCTCCGGCTTGGCCTGCAGCAGCTGGAATAGCGCATCGCGTTGCTGTATGCGCAGGAACCACTGCGAGTGAAAGTTCTGGATTTCTGCTACGCTGCCATTCACCAGCAGCTCCACGGCTAGCGCGAGCAGCGCGGGTGAGCGCTGGCTACTCAGGCTCTTCACGGGATACTGGCTGGCCGCACGCAGACCCTTGTAGCTCAGGCTCAGACGCAGCCCAGCAAAAAACTCTGCCTCGCTTTGACCGCTCGCAGCCAGCAGCTCTGGTAGACCATGGGAGTTGAGTATGCCGCTCAGCAGATAGTACTTGTTGCGATTCGTCCATGGCCAGAACTCGACAATGAGGCGAAAGTAGGAAAATGCGCGTTGTTGCTGCTTGCAGCAGTGATTGAAGAGCGTAAGTGTCTCCTCCCGCGAGCCCACCTGGCTCTGGCGCTGCAGGCAGTGGTAGAAGTGCTCAAGCTGCAGCGTGAGCAATTCCAGCTTGGGAAACTTCTTCACCAGCAGATTGGTAGCCTTCAATTGATGAACCAGGCTGCTGCTGTTATGCTGCAGTGCAGCAATGAGGGCATCCATGCACTTGGCCTCAATTAGCTGTGCATCCAGTCGCGTCCAGTGGTCGGTCAGCAGCACAGCCTGTAGCATTAGAAAAGCCTGCGGCTGCTCACAGCACAGCCGCTGGGGTAGATCTGCAAAGTGCTCATCCGCCAGTTCGTATTTGTGCACGATGTGATAGTAGACGCGAAAGGCGACGTTTAGCGCGGCCTGATTGATGCTGCCCGTGTCCGGCTTGCTTGCCTCCTCAATGATTTGTGCAGCTAGCTGGTCGGCCACCTCCTGGGGCAATGCATCCCCCAACGACTGTGGATAGTTGAGTGCCGACAGTAAATACACAAAAAAAAGACAATTAAAGCCGCCGACAAGCTTACCTGCAGATAGGAAAGACAGTCGCTGTGTTTTTTAGGCTCAGTTTCGCGCACAGGCAGCGCTGCAGCCATTGTTAAACAGGACCCGCCTGGGTAACACGGGGGTTGTAACGAAACAAATAAGTTTTATAAAAGTCTTATACATATCGACCACACGTGCAGAATAATCGTTGACTATCGATAACAGCGATAAGTGCTCTTCTTGAAAACGAGCATTTACGCGCTTATTGGTATGCGGTCTCACTGATTTGGTGCTTCAGTTCAAGATGGCGAACGATGCGAGCAAACTACTACTGTCTTCACACCAAGAAAAAACCAGTCATTATACGTAAATAAACAGAGTTTAAAGTGCAATTAGTATGTTTTTCGCTAACTGAAACTCTTTGCTTGCTCAGCTACCTGAAGGAGTTCCGCGTGGAGCAGTGCCAGTCGTTCCTGCAGCACAAATGCAACCAGCATCGCCCCTTCGTTTGCTTCAATTGGCATTTTCAAAATCAGCGTCGTCGACGGCCAGTACGTAAACGCGATGGCACATTTAATTACAGCGCTGATAATTATTGCACCAAATATGATGAAACAACTGGAATCTGTCCCGAAGGCGATGAGTGAGTATCCATCCTAGGCAAATTGTGTCGTCTCGCTGTGTGTGATGTCAAGACGCCAACGCGAACAAACAACGACGTAGTATTTTTTCGTTTCCTCTTTGCGCTCAATTTTCTTTGCAATGTGTGTGTATCTCTTGGCTTCGTGTTTACAAACAAAAACTTTTCGCGGGCGTGCGGAGTGGCAAAGTAAAATCAACTAGCTAAAAGTGAAATTGATTGCGTTTGTTTGTATGACAGTTCCTATGTGTGCGTGGGTAAGCTAGGCGCACCCTACAACGAGGTCACTGCCGCCAGCCACCCACAAAATGCAAAAGTGAAAGTGATTTAAGCGATAAAGCTGTTTGAGCTCGGAAATTCTAATCGGCGTTTGCCTAACTGAGGGTTGTTGCTCTCGCACACACTCTCAAATGCGCAGCAGCAGTTATAACCGCTACAAGTGTGTGCGTCATTGTTTTTATTGCGTTTCGCTTTTGCGCGTATTTCCTTCAGTTTATTTTGGTTTTCCCCCGGCGTCGTCGTCGTAGTAACAACAGCAGCAGCAGCAGTGGCACTTTGAAAATGTACAGTTATTGAGCAAAGCTTTCCATCAAAGCTTTGAGCAACGAACGGCTGTGCATGAAGGAGAGCGACAACAAAATAATACGCAATTCCATTTTCTGCAATAAGAAACAACAACAATTCTGACCTAGACTTGAAATGTGTGTACGTGTGTGTGTGTGTATGTGTATGTGTTATTGTACATGTATGTATGTGGTGAGTGGTTTTATTGCTGATTTAACTGTAGGTTGGGAATGAGCTGCTGCCTTGCTATTTTTAGCACGCGATTAGGTCCTTTTCTGCGTCACTTGACATTGCTCATTCCATTTTTTCTACATACTTTCACTCTCGCACAGATGCCCCTTCCTACACCGAACAGCCGGCGACACTGAGCGTCGGTATCATTTACGCTACTACAAGACATGCATGTGTGTGCACGATACAGACAGCCGGGGATACTGTGTGAAAAATGGTCTTCACTGCGCCTTTGCGCACGGCATGCAGGACCAGCGCCCACCGGTTTATGATATCAAAGAGCTGGAGACATTGCAAAATGCGGATATATCGTTGGACGGGACCAATGCACAAAATGCGCTTGATAAGGAGCGAAACCTAATGAACGAGGATCCCAAATGGCAAGACACCAACTATGTGCTAGCCAACTACAAAACCGAGCCATGCAAGCGTCCGCCCCGTTTGTGTCGCCAGGGCTATGCCTGTCCACAGTACCACAACAGCAAGGATAAACGTCGCTCGCCCAGAAAGTACAAATACAGGCAAGTTGGGCTTACTATCCCTAGCTATACATTTATTTACATTAAACATTGCCTTTGTAGGTCCACCCCATGTCCCAATGTCAAGCACGGCGAGGAGTGGGGCGAACCGGGCAACTGTGAGGCCGGAGACAATTGCCAGTATTGTCACACACGCACCGAGCAACAGTTTCATCCGGAAATCTACAAGTCCACAAAATGCAACGATGTACAACAGGCTGGCTACTGCCCTCGCAGCGTCTTCTGCGCCTTTGCGCATGTGGAACGTAAGTAGTCCTGGCTCGGCCCAATAAGTATCTATATAGTCCTTAGGACCCAAGCGCTGTTTTCCACAACCATAGCGAGCGGTTGTATCAGATATTTATAGTTTAGATTAGGTTCATATGTTTAGTTGATATCGTTTAATTTTTTGTTTGTCTTTTACTCACGCTCACATATTAATCAAATTTGTGTAAACTCCTTGAAATGATATGAAATCAATGCATCAATCAAAATCCGCTTTGCTGCTTGTCCATTGTTCCCTCCTCAAGCTTATCTTGTCAACGAACAGAAGAAGCGCGATCAAGAAATTGCCTTAAGCGAAATCATTTCCAATGGCTTGTCCGGTATGAAGATGCAGGATGAGGTCGCTAATGGCAAGCTGTCTTCAGGACTGCTCCAGCTGAGCAATAATGTACGTATTACCAAATGCAACACAAATCACTTCTAAATTTTGTGTGTGGGTGTGTGCGTGTGTGTGTGAGTATGCGCGCCCAGCACTTCGCTAACAATCTCTAACCCCACTTGATCACGAGCTAATCCAGCTAACAGCATCAAATTGCAAGTCATTGAGAACTTTGTGCCGCTCTCATTTGTTTCTTCGTCTCTCTCTTTGTTTGATTCTCTTTTTCGTAGTTATTAAATATTGATGGTAATAATACAACCAACAAAATGTTTGTAGATGCTTTGGAAAATACAACTAATTCCAGCAAAATCTTAAATATCTCACTACCACTGGACAGCCATCGTGAGTAATATATTTACACAGATCTTTTCATTGTTTTCAACGATGGTTGTGGACAAAATGATAGCGCAAAAAAAAAAAAAAAAACAAAAGCAAAATTCCACCTAACCTAACTGAAACGAAACTAACGAATTTGTTCTTAAAATTATTTCAAGCAGCCTGTACATTGGAAGATCCACGCGAGAACTCGCTATCGGCAAGTCTGGTTAACACTAGTTTATTAACACGTTCCTCGGCGCCAATTAACATTCCTAATACGACACTAAGTAACTCTATTAACGGTGAGTCATTGTGCAAACGTATAAAATCGGATCCATGCTAATTTCAATTATCAATTCTCTACCATATAGACTTCAATTCAGGTGGCTTTGCCGTCAACATTCCCAGCAGCTCGCTCACATATAGCCCGACAAATCATGCCAATCTATTCAATGTGTATGGCGCCTCCAACAAGCTAAGCAATTCCCTATCGGCTGCTACGCAAAACGATAGCAATAGCATGTTCTTTCCGTCGCGCATTATATCGCCTGGCTTTGGCGATGGCTTATCTATAAGCCCATCAGTTAGAATATCAGAATTGAACACCATACGTGATGATATCAACAGTAGCTCCGTGGGTAACAATCTATTTGAGAACACTTTGAATACGGCTAAAAATGCATTCAGCTTACAATCTCTGCAATCGCAAAACAACACCGATTTGGGTCGTATGACCAATGAGTTGCTCACGAAGAATGCGCAGATTCAAAAGCTTTCCGTACGACTTGAGGAGCTCATGTGCAAGATAAAAATAGCAGAACTGCATCGCGACAAAGCCAAACAGGAAGCCTTGGAATGGAAGGACCGTCACGATCTAGTGCAAATACAACTCAATCTACCCGGAGAGTTGCGCGATTTATCCATACAAAAACTAAAGCAATTACAAGTAGGTTGTCTCCATTGTATATTAAATATTTAGTTTTTCTTTAAACAAACAACTTTTAGTCTAAACTGCGCACCGATTTGGAGGAAGTAGACAAAGTATTATACTTGGAAAACGCCAAGAAGTGCATGAAATGCGAAGAGAACAATCGAACCGTTACTTTGGAGCCCTGCAATCATCTGTCCATTTGCAATACATGCGCCGGTTCGGTTACCGAGTGCCCCTATTGTCAGGTGCCGGTAATCACAACCCACACATAGAATATGTTTTAAGCGCTCTAGAACTTTTGATGAGCCCCTGTGCCTAATTGGTACAGAGCGTGTTCACAGTAACAATGGGCGATAGAAACTAAACTTTAATCGTAAGCAAAATGTTAAAAAACGTCTAGCAAATATGCCGCGCCTGGCATATGACAGAGCTTACATATATACTTATATTATTTATATTACTCTATATGCAAATTAATTATCTTGGATATTAGCAATTACTAGGCACAAAATATGTAATTCGTTTAGCAAGCAGCTATGCATTTGAAATTTATTACTCGTCTAAATAACGCTACAGGAAATTTTCTTTATATATATTTATTTTTTGGTTTATTTTCATTTCATTTTTTTTTTAATTTTGTGTTAATTTTAGTTTATATATACAATTCGTATACATAACAGTTTCAAAGTTTCTTTGTGTCCATGACATTTTATTTTGTATGAAACGAATTTGCAATATTATTGTCTTTTTTTTTATACCTGTATTCATAATTTTCTATACTTGCAGTCACTTTTCACTAGTATTAATTAAACAAATAAAACCATTTACTATTATATGATATACCTGTACACGTTCATATATTTTATGACGATAATTTTTGCCGCTTCTATAAAACACTTTAAAAAAAATCAAATTGACTAACAAACAAATGAAAACCACCAGTGATTTTTATAAACCAATTGTCTAACTACAAATATATGTATTTTTTAGGTATGTTTAAATGAAATATAAACAAATCAAGATTTTGTAATTAAGAGATTTCTAGGCAAGGTTCAAGTTTTAGGGTCTTTAATGAAGGATCTTTGAAAGACCCAATTTAATGCAAATTTTTGCATGGGCGTACAAAATATTGAAAATTGTAGAAACTACAATATCTATTCGTAGTTCTTCGCATTGGTCAGTTTGTACAATTTCTCAGCCCGTACTATACTTTTAATTTTCGTATGTCTGGATTTTAGCCAGAAAACCAATTTTGCATCTATTAATCTATAGTTACATAAATGATTTCACTTACACACTAAGAAAAACGGACTAAAAACTTTTTAAATAATTTGTATTTGATGTATTTCACTTTTATACGCTACTAGGTTACTATGTGATTTCTTTAGTGCTTTAAGTACGTTCTTTTCTAATTTTTTTATGTAACTTTTAAATTTAATATAAAGCTTCCAATGAAAATCCGGTCAAAGGTCAGATAAACGATATATCAAAGTCAAAAATGTATATTGATGGCCAATGTTAACGGTACAAGATTATTAAATACACAATATTTACAAAAATTGAAGCGTGTGATGTAAAAGATTAAACAATAAACGTAACTCAAGACAGCGAATACAGTCTATGATGAATGTTAACCGAATGCTTTCGCAAAAGCAAAAAGTTAATGTATTGTATTGTATGTATTGTAGCTTATAACAAAGTTGAGCATCTATATAAAATATAATGAACTCTAACGTATTATTAGTTATAAAACTAATGGCAAACATGTTGATCACTTAGGGCATGAAAGTAAACTATTCAAGTATGAATTTCACATGCAGAAATTTAGGCATTTATTGAAAATAAAACAGATAGAAACCCAAAATGAAATCATAATATATAGGTATACTTATATTAAAAGATATGAAAATATATTTGATAGCTAACTAGCTAAGCAGCGCAAAGGCTTTTGTGTGTATGTAGTAGCCAAAAATTAATGTATGAACTATACAATGATTAAATGTGCATGTTAATGTGTGTTGCAATTAAATGCTTTAATATTATTACTGCTCTATACAAAAACAAAAAGAAAAAATAACAAATAAAAATGGAAAGACAAGTTAAAGCAATTGAAAGAACATTAAACACACAAAAAAAAAAATACAAAATGGTTTTATAATGGAGCTGTTGAGTGCGAAATTCGAATGCTTATACTAAAGCTCTTGCGAAATACCCTCTAACTCTGAATATTTGGGCACAACGTATTTATAGCAATAAACATTAATCTTATCTACAAGCACAAACATCGTATTACTAGCAAAGCAATTTAAAACACACATCTCAGCTGCGACAAACGAAACCATTTCATGACAACTCAATACAAATCAGATAACTAATAAACTGAGACATATATACACACAATGTATGGAAAACGTATGTATTTTGTATACGCTACTGTAAGAGTGATCTTTATGTGATTTTGAAACTACTTGAATATGTGATCCAGAAATATATAAAAAAACAAAACAAAAAAAAACTTAAGAATGAACAAAAAAATATATAAATATACATTTATGCAAGCTCTCGCCAGAATCAGCAGTTAATGAATGATTACCAACTAAACTAAAACTTGATGTACAACAATAATAATAAACAACATAAAAATGCTCCAGCTCCATTTAGAAACAAAAACAACAAATGAAACACACACACACACACACACACATACATTGAGCGTTCGCCAGGCAAACAAAAGAAAAAAAGAAGAAATAAAAAATGAAATATTCATGTACGCCAAATAAAAGGAATATATTAAGAAATTAATAAAAACAAAATATATAGATATATATATTTGTCTAAAATATCAAATGTATTTATAGTTAGCTTAAGAGTTCTATCAAAAACACCGACAATGTGGAAAGGTCAAAATTTGAAATGGCAATTACGTAGAATTAGTACAATAATGAAGTGTTTGCTACTAGTTGTTTCATAGTTAATACGTTTAACAAATTATATAAATATGCAAATGAAACTGTAACTAACGGTTTAGTCCTAACACACCAAAACCAAACGTTGAACACCGATTAGGAATTTTTAAATGTGGAAATCCCGTTAACAGTAAAAGTAAAGCAAGCAAACTGAACTAAATACTAATGTATGTAAAGCAATTTTATGCAAACCAGCCCACAATACAAAGCAACAAATGGAAACAAGCAAATGATTTTTTTTATAATATGTAAACTAAAGCAAAAAAAAAAAAACATTGCAAATATGCAACTTAACCAACATTTACTAGCAATTTTTATACAAAATGCTGAACTATTGAAACAATTTAGACAGCTCTACATAAGCGAACTTTTACATAGGCTCTAATTTGTATAAGAAATATATAGAATATCTATGAAAATACCTATGTTGCAGATGCATAACTCTCGCCGCAAACAAACTCAAATACACACTTACAATATTTAAAAACATTTTGTTTTTAATTTTTACCCAATTCTTGATTTACAATGTTTCGATTCCGTGATACTACAACTTTAGCACAAGGCATTGTTGTGGTTTGTGTCCCGGCTAAACCAAAAAAAAAAAAATCGAATCTACGTTGATTTCCGATTGCGCCGGTCGCAAAAACCACCTGTAGTTATCTAACGCCCAGAGGAAATGGTCATAAATCGCTCAAATTAAAAGTTGATACCATTTTGTGAGCAGAAACGCCGTCAAAGCGCACTAAACGTTATTTCCGATCAAATTTACGTTCTGGTCTAAAAAAAGAAATTTATTGGGGCAAAAGTTGTATATTGTAGTTTAGAGGCCAACCCAGGCCCCGCAATAATTTGCCCTCTCAGGCACATGTTGTAGTTAAGCAGAGTTATTAACTAAAGAATATACTTATATATATAGATATATAGAGACAGAATCAATATTTGTGTGTAAATGTATTTCGACAGCTATCGCAAACAATAGACTCAACTGAATTTCGAGGCAAACCAAATCAATTGCATATTATAAGAACTAACTAAACATGATAACGATTGTACGAGTATTAACATATTAATTATGAAAATAGAAACATTAACAAATTTGTGTAGTAATTTAGTTAACTTTTTGCAAATATCGAATGAGAAATTGTTTAAAGGCCGAGCAAACAAATAAAATGACAGTAAACGAGAGCCCGTTCGCCTGTTGATATGAGTACTATTTATGTATATGCTATGTAATTAACAAATTGATGAATACAATATTTAAGTATAAAGAAATATACAGACACACATATATGTATATGTGCATGTAATACTGATTAATAAAAGTGTGTTTAAAGGCTGTGTGTGTGTTTTATTGTGGAGAGTCCTCTGTTTGCAGACTTAAAACGAAAGCATCGACGACGAGCAGACAAAAGCCAAGGCGCTTGTGGTTCCCATGCGTGATTCCAATCTGGCCAACAACAGCAACACCAATAGCAACAACAACAACAACAACAACAACAAACTGCACACACAAAGAGCAATCACACACACACACACTCACACACATATACAGGCCGAGTGAAAAGGGCAATATAAAAAGGCAAAGGCTGAACAACAACAGCAGAAACTCGTAAGAATTTTAAAATGCACGATAATCGTTCAGTGATAGCTAAGCAAGCCGACAATGCCCCATGCCACCGCGCCGATACCCCCGCCACCGGCACCGCAGCCGCTGCCGCTGCCAACTGACAACGGTGCCTGGCTGCCACTTTAACCTGAGCCCTCTCTGAGCCACAGACGAGGTCCAGGGAGCCAGTTTGGAAACAAGGTACGCTGCGGCTGCCGCTGCGCGATATCGCCGCGTTCGCGCGTTAAACACAAGCGCAACAATTTTTATTCTGTCAGCGAACGCGTGCCTGTATTTGTGTGGTCCCGGCCTCAAACTGGACTGTGGTGCCTCTGCCTGTGCCTGTGCCTGTGCCTGTGCCCGAAACTGGGTTCTCTGTGTGTGGACGTCGTTCGGGTCCTGCTGCCTGCTGCCTGTCGACTGATGATCTTGCGTGGAGATCTCACGCGCATGCGCCTTGCCCTGTTGCTGGCGTTGTGCATGTGCTCGGGCATATTAGTTGGCTGATGCATTTGGGCCATGATCGGTTGCGTAGCTCTGGACTGGCGTATAAATAGTTTTTATGAGCGCAAAAGTGTTGCCATTTTTCATGTTGGGCTAAACGGCCGCAGCCGTGTCGCTCCTCGATCCTCTCGACAGACTATTTTTAGACGCAACATTTGCGACAAGAGCATCAGCATCAGGTCCAGTAACAGCATCAGGCTTCCATGTTCATGTTCTGCCGTGTTTCGCACGCTGCACGCTACACGCATTTCCACTCGAAACTTGTTTTGTTGTGTGTTGGCTGCCGCCGCCGTTTCGCTGTTTCGCCCGTCCGACTGCCAGACCGCACGACCGCCCGGCCGTCCGCCAGCCCGCCCGCCCGCACATCCCGCCGTGATTTGTAACACGATACGTTTTGCCGCCGCCGTTGACTTGGATGCTGCTTGCCTGTGTGCCGGCCAAGGGGGATACGTAAAATACTATAAACCGAGAACGGAGCTCTTGGCCTGCCTGCGTCTAATGCATTTTTCTGCTCCTTTGCATTGCTGTCTGCTGGGCTGCCGGCCTGGCGAGCAACAGCTCATTAGACATTTTTAATTTGACAATGCGCGCTATTTATGTGGGAATTTCATGGCGCGCATTTTGAGTCATCGAAACGAAAGACTTAGGCAACGAACTTGGCGTGCTAACTTTGTCTTACTTTGGATTCCGTCTGCCGCCAGCCGCCTGCTGCCTGCTGACTGCTGGGTGCTGCCCAGGCAAGGCGAAATCAATTTTCAATTTGCTTCACATTGCAGCGACCGCCTCGGGGCCCTGCCAGAAGCATCGCAGATCAAAGCAAAAGACAAGAGCGAACGAAACAGAAAACGAAAAAAAACAAAAAACAAAAAATCTATTTAACTGGCACAGGCGTTGACGTTGACGTTGACTTTGGCTTTGGCTTCAACTTAACGAAGTGTGGCCGCCCTGCCCCGCCCTCGTTGCCTGGATCGCGCCAGCATTCCGTTTGTGGTTTTTGTGGCTAACGCGCCACGAGCGGCACATAACTAAAACAACAAAAGCGACAACGCAATAGCATTTCGAAATTGAAAACTTCAGAAAAATGGCAATTTTCTAAGTCCGGACTGCGAGTGGGACTCGATGTAGGTGCAGGGGTCAAAAGAAGCTGCTATTGCGGCGTTGTGACGTTGCCGGTCATCAACTTTCCATAATCGGCGCGCAGACAACAAACAACTTGAGCCCCGGCTAACAGCGCTGCCCGCCCGCTGGGTAGACAACAACAACAACAGCAATAGCAGCAGCAACAACAACAACAAGAGGAACAAGCGCCACTTTGCTGTCAATTCAAAATGATAATGCAAACAAATATTAACCCACTCCAAGTGGACGCATGTGGCTGCCGTCTCATGGCACTTTCTGACAGCCCAGCGACACTCGAGTCGATGTCGACGTCGACCTGCCTGCGACTGTGGGAATGTGCCACGGTCTCCACACCGCCGCGGCTTAAATGCTTTTCCAGACCATAATGACTTTTAATTTTTATGGCACTGGCTGCCG